TGGTCAAGGTAGTCAGGGTAGTCAGGGTAGTCAAGATGTTCAAGGTGGTCAAGGTGGTCAAGTTAGTCAAGGTCGTCAAAGTGGTCAAGCTGGTCAAGTTAGTCAAGTAGGTCAAGGTAGGTCAAGGTAGTCAAGGAGGTCAAGATGGTCAGGGTAGTCAAGGTGGTCAAGGTAGTCAGGGTGGTCAAGGTAGTCAAGGTAGTCAAGGTAGTAAAGGTGTACAAGGTGGTCAGGGTAGTCAAGGTGGTCAAGGTAGTCAAGGTAGTCAGGGTAGTCAGGGTAGTCAGGGTAGTCAAGTGGTCAAGGTAGTCAAGGTGGTCAAGAAGGTCAAGATGGTCAAGGTAGTCAAGTTAGTCAGGGTAGTCAGGGTAGTCAAGGTGGTCAAGATAGTCAAGATGGTCAAGGTGGTCAAGTTGGTCAGGGTAGTCAAGGTAGTCAAGGTGGTCACGGTGGTCAAGGTGGTCAGGGTAGTCAAGGTGGTCAAGGTGGTCAGGGTAGTCAAGGTGGTCAAGGTAGTCAAGGTGGTCAAAGGTAGTCAGGGTAGTCAAGGTGATCAAGGTAGTCACGGTGGTCAGGGTAGTCAAGGTGGTCAAGTTAGTCAAGGTAGTCAAGATAGTCAAGGTGGTCAAGATGATCAAGATGGTCAAGGTAGTCAGGGTGGTCAAGGTGGTCAAGGTAGTCAAGGTAGTCAGGGTAGTCAAGGTAGTCAAGTTGGTCAGGGTAGTCAAGGTAGTCAAGGTGGTCAGGGTAGTCAAGATGGTCAAGTTAGTCAAGTTAGTCAAGTTAGTCAAGGTAGTCAAGGTGGTCAAGGTGGTCAGGGTAGTCAAGCTGGTCAAGTTAGTCAAGGTGGTCAAGGTAGTCAAGGTAATCAAGATGGTCAAGGTGGTCAAGGTAGTCAAGATGGTCAAGGTGGTCAAGGTAGTCAGGGTAGTCAAGGTGGTCAAGGTAGTCAAGGTGGTCAAGGTGGTCAGGGTGGTCAAGGTAGTCAAGGTAGTCAAGGTGGTCAAGGTAGTCAAGATAGTCAAGGTGGTCTAGGTGGTCAGGGTAGTCAAGATGGTCAAGGTAGTCAAGGTGGTCAAGATAGTCAAGATAGTCAGGGTAGTCAAGGTAGTCAAGGTAGTCAAGGTGGTCAAGAAGGTCAAGGTGGTCAAGGTAGTCAAGTTAGTCAGGGTAGTCAAGGTGGTCAAGATGGTCAAGGTGGTCAAGTTGGTCAGGGTAGTCAAGGTGGTCAAGGTAGTCAAGGTAGTCAAGTTAGTCAAGGTGGTCAGGGTAGTCAGGGTAGTCAAGGTAGGTCAAGGTAGTCAAGTTAGTCAAGGTGGTCAGGGTAGTCAAGTGGTCAAGCTGGTCAAGGTAGTCAAGGTAGTCAAGGTGGTCAAGGTAGTCAGGGTAGTCAGGGTAGTCAAGGTGGTCAAGTTAGTCAAGGTTGTCAAGGTGGTCAAGCTAGTCAAGTTAGTCAAGGTAGTCAAGGTAGGTCAAGGTAGTCAAGGAGGTCAAGCTGGTCAGGGTAGTCAAGGTAGTCAAGGTAGTCAGGGTAGTCAAGGTAGTCAAGGTGGTCAAGGTAGTCAAGGTGGTCAGGGTAGTCAAGGTGGTCAAGGTAGTCAAGGTAGTCAGGGTGGTCAGGGTAGTCAGGGTAGTCAAGTGGTCAAGGTAGTCAAGGTGGTCAAGAAGGTCAAGGTGGTCAAGGTAGTCAAGTTAGTCAGGGTAGTCAGGGTAGTCAAGGTGGTCAAGATGGTCAAGTTGGTCAGGGTGGTCAAGTTGGTCAGGGTAGTCAAGGTAGTCAAGGAGGTCAAGATGGTCAGGGTAGTCAAGGTAGTCAAGGTAGTCAAGGTGGTCAGGGTGGTCAGGGTAGTCAAGGTAGTCAAGGAGGTCAAAGTGGTCAGGGTAGTCAAGGTAGTCAAGATGGTCAGGGTAGTCAAGGTAGTCAAGGAGATCAAGGTGGTCAGGGTAGTCAAGGTAGTCAAGGAGGTCAAGGTGATCAGGGTAGTCAAGGTTAGCAAGGAGGTCAAGTGGTCAGGGTAGTCAAGGTAGTCAAGGTGGTCAAGGTGGTCAAGGTAGTCAGGATAGTCAAGGTAGTCAAGGTGGTCAAGGTAGTCAAGGTGGTCAGGGTAGTCAAGTGGTCAGGGTGGTCAGGGTAGTCAAGGCGGTCAAGGTGGTCAGGGTGGTCAAGGTAGTCAAGGTGGTCAAGATAGTCAAGATAGTCAAGAGGGGTCAGGGTAGTCAAGGTGGTCAAGTTAGTCAAGATAGTCAAGGTGGTCAAGGTATTCAAGGTGGTCAAGATGGTCAGGGTAGTCAAGGTAGTTAGGGTAGTCAAGGTGGTCAAGGTGGTCAAGGTAGTCAAGGTGGTCAAGGTGGTAAGGGTAGTCAGGGTAGTCAGGGTAGTCAAGGTTAGTCACGGTGGTCTGGGTAGTCAAGGTGGTCAAGTTAGTCAAGTAGGCAAGATAGTCAAGGTGGTCAAGGTAGTCAGGTAGTTCAAGGTGGTCAGGGTGGTCAGGGTGTGGTAAGGGTAGTCAAGGTAGTCAGGGTAGTCTAAGGGTAGATCAAGGTAAGTCAAGTTGGTTCAGGTAGTCAGGGTGGTCAAGGTAGTCAAGGTGGTCAAGTTAGTCAAGGTAGTCAAGGTGGTCAAGGTAGTCAGGGTAGTCAAGATGGTCAGGGTAGTCAAGGTGGTCAAGTTAGTCAAGGTAGTCAAGATAGTCAAGGTGATCAAGGTGGTCAAGGTAGTCAATGGTGGTCAAGGTAGTCAAGTTAGTCAAGTTGGGTCAAGATGGTCAAGGTGGTCAAGGTAGTCAGGTGGTCAAGGTGGTCAGGGTAGTCAAGCTGGTCAAGATAGTCAAGGTAGTCAAGCTAGTCAGGGTACTAGTAAAGGTAGTCAAGGTAGTCAAGGTAGTCAGGGTAGTCAAGGTGGTCTAGGTGGTCAGGGTAGTCAAGGTGGTCAAGTTAGTCAAGGTAGTCAAGATAGTCAAGATGGTCAAGGTAGTCAAGTTGGTCAAGGTAGTCAAGGTGGTCAAGGTGGTCAGGGTAGTCAGGGTAGTCAGGGTAGTCAAGCGTGGTCAAGATGGTCAAGGTGGTCAGGGTAGTCAAGGTGGTCAAGTTAGTCAAGGTAGTCAAGAGAGTCAAGGTGGTCAAGGTGATCAAGGTGGTCAAAGTAGTCAGGGTGATCAAGGTGGTCAAGGTAGTCAAGGTAGTCAGGGTAGTCAAGGTAGTCAAGTTGGTCAGGGTAGTCAAGGTAGTCAAGGTGGTCAGGGTAGTCAAGGTGGTCAAGTTAGTCAAGGTAGTCAAGGTGGTCAAGGTAGTCAGGGTAGTCAAGGTGTGTCAGGGTAGTCAAGCTGGTTCAAGTTAGTCAAGGTGGTCAAGGTAGTCAGGGTAGTCAAGGTGGTCAAGGTAGTCAAGGTAGTCAAGGTAGTCAGGGTGGTCAAGGTAGTCAGGTAGTCAAGATAGTCAGGGTTGGTCAAGGTAGTCAAGGTAGTCAAGAGAACAAGGTGGTCAGGGTAGTCAAGTGGGTCAAGGTAGTCAAGGTAGTCAAGGTGGTCAAGGTGGTCAGGGTAGTCAAGGTGGTCAAGGTGGTCAAGATGGTCAAGGTGGTCAAGGTAGTCAGGTAGTCAAGGTAGTCAAGAAGGTCAAGGTGGTCAAGGTAGTCAAGTTAGTCAGGGTAGTCAAGGTGGTCAAGATGGTCAAGATGGTCAAGTTGGTCAGGGTAGTCAAGGTGGTCAAGGTAGTACAAGGTAGTCAAGTTAGTCAAGGTGGTCAAGGTAGTCAAGAAGGTCAGGGTAGTCAGGGGTAGTCAGGGTAGTCAAGGTAGGTCAAGGTAGTCAAGGTAGTCAGGGTAGTCAAGGTAGTCAAGGTAGTCAAGGTGTACAAGGTGGTCAGGGTAGTCAAGGTGGTCAATGTGGTCAAGGTAGTCAAGGTAGTCAGGGTAGTCAGGGTAGTCAGGGTAGTCCAAGTGGTCAAGGTAGTCAAGGTGGTCAAGAAGTTCAAGTATGGTCAAGGTAGTCAAGTTAGTCAGGGTAGTCAGGGTAGTCAAGGTGGTCAAGATGGTCAAGATGGTCAAGGTGGTCAAGTTGGTCAGGGTAGTCAAGGTAGTCAAGGTGGTCACGGTTGGTCAAGGTGGTCAGGGTAGTCAAGGTGGTCAAGGTGGTCAGGGTAGTCAAGGTGGTCAAGGTGGTCAGGGTAGTCAAGTTGGTCAAGGTAGTCAAGTGGGTCAAGGTAGTCAAGATGGTCAAAGGCAGTCAGCGTAGTCCAGTTGATCAAGGTAGTCACGGTGGTCAGGGTAGTCCAAGGTGGTCAAGTTAGTCAAGGTAGTCAAGATAGTCAAGGTGGTCAAGATGATCAAGATGGTCAAGGTAGTCAGGGTGGTCAAGGTGGTCAAGGTAGTCAAGGTAGTCAAGGTCGTCAAGTTGGTCAGGGTAGTCAAGGTAGTCAAGTGGTCAGGGTAGTCAAGATGGTCAAGTTAGTCAAGTTAGTCAAGGTAGTCAAGGTGGTCAAGGTGGTCAAGGTAGTCAAGGTGGTCAGGGTAGTCAAGCTGGTCAAGTTAGTCAAGGTGGTCAAGGTAGTCAAGGTAATCAAGATGGTCAAGGTGGTCAGGTAGTCAAGATGGTCAAGTGGTCAAGGTAGTCAGGGTAGTCAAGGTGGTCAAGGTAGTCAAGGTGGTCAGGGTGGTCAAGGTAGTCAAGGTAGTCAAGGTGGTCAAGGTAGTCAAGGTAGTCAAGGTGGTCTAGGTGGTCAGGGTAGTCAAGATGGTCAAGGTTAGTCAAGGGTAGTCAAGGTAGTCAGGGTAGTCAAGTGGTCAGGTGTGGTTCAAGGTAGTCAAGGTGGTCAAGGTAGTCAAGGTAGTCCAAGGTGGTCCTAGGTGGTCAGGGTAGTCAAGGTGATCAAGGTGGTCAGGGTAGTCAAGGTAGTCAGGGTAGTCAAGTGGTCAGGGTGGTCAAGGTAGTCAAGGTGGTCAAGGTGGGTCAGGGTACTCAAAGGGGGTCAAGGTGGTCTAAGATAGTCAAGATGGTCAAGATAGTCAAGTTAGTCAAGTTAGTCAAGGTGATCAAGGTTGGTCAGGGTGGTCAAGGTGGTCAGGGTAGTCAAGGTGGTCAAGGTAGTCAAGATGGTCAAGTGGGTCAGGGTAGTCAAGGTGACCCAGGCTAGTCAAGGTAACACCACGCTAGTTAAGGTGACACCAGGATAGTCAAGCTGTCCACCACGCTAGTCAAGGAGTCCCACCACAAATAGTCAAGGAGTCCCACCACGTTAGTCGAGTTGACACCAGGCTAGTCAGGCTAGTCAAGACGACACCGCGCTAGTCAAGGAGTCCCATCACGCTAGTCAAGGAGTCCCATCATGCTCGTCAAGGAGTCCCATCACGCTAGTCAAGAAGTCCCATCACGCTAGTCAAGGAGTACCACCACGCTATTCTAAGATGACCCCAGGCTAGTCAAGACGACACCACGCTAGTCAAGGAGTCCCACCAGGCTAGTCACGGAGTCCCACCACGCTAGTCAAGGTGTCCCACCACGCTAGTCAAGGAGTCCCACCACGCTAAGTCAAGATGACACCAGGCTAGTCGAGGAAGTCCCACCACGATAGTCAAGGAGTCCCACCAGGCTAGCCAAGGAGTCCCCACCACGCTAGTCGAGGAGTCCCACCAGGCTAGCGAGGAGTCCCACCACGCTAGTCAAGGTGGACACCACCACGCTAGTCAAGGAGTCCCACCAGGCTAGCCGAGGAGTCCCACCACGATAGCCAAGGGTCCACACAGGCTAGTCAAGGAGTCCCACCACGATAGCCAAGGAGTCCCACCAGGCTAGCCAAGGTGACACCAGGCTAGTCAAGCTGTCCCACCACGCTAGTCAAGGAGTCCCACCACGCTAGTCAAGATGACCCAGGCTAGTCAAGGAGTCCCACCACGCTAGTCGAGGAGTCCCACCACGCTAGTCAAGGAAGTCCCACCACGCTAGTCGAGGAGTCCCACCACCCTAGCCCAGGAGTCCCACCAGGCTAGCCGAGGCTACCGTTGTACGTGGCGCTGTTCTTCACCACGGCCTCCACGTGTTCGCGGAACTCGTCACGTGAGTGGTATGGCGCGGCCACGGAGGTGCTCGCGCATGGTCTGCAGGTCCATCGGCCGCGTGACCACGCGGTAGTAGTCCTTCACCTGCTTGGCGCTCACCGGCGAGTGGAACGGGTACGTCTGGGGAGGGTGGGGAGGGTGGGGAGGTGACGGGGTCGAGCGGTGCGGCGTCACGAGGGCCCCGCAGACGTCGGTCTGGCGCACGGCTCGGACGTCGCCCCGCTCGGACGCACGCGCAACACACACACACACACACAGACACACACACACACACAGACACGCACACACACAGACACACCACACACAGACACACAACCACACGCACACAAGACACACACACACACGCACACACAGACAGACACACACACACGCCACACACACACACGCACGCGCCCACACACACGCACACCACACACACGCCCACACACACACACACGCACACACACAAACACAGACACACACACACAGACACACACACACAGACACACACGCACACACACCCACACAGGACACATACACCCACACCACACACACACACACGCACACACACACACACAGACACACACGCACAAACACAGACACACACACACACCAGACACACACACACAGACACACACGCACACACACACACACACGCACACACACACACACCCACACACACACACACGCACACACACACACACAGACACACACGCACACACACACACACCCACACATACACGCACACACACACACGCACCACACGTCTACCCACACACACGCACACACACACGCACGCACACGCACACACACACGCACACACACACACACGTCTACCCACACAACACAGACACACACACGCACCACACACACGCACACACGCACACACACACGCACACAACACACACACGCACGCGCCCACACACACACACCCACCCACAACACACACGCGCATGCCACGCACATACACACACACCCACACCACACTCACACACACACACCCACCCACCACACCCACACACGCACACACACACCCACACACCACCCACCCACACACACTCACACACACACACACAACACCCACCCACACACACACACGCGCACGCAACACACACACACACACACACACACACCCCCCACACGACACCCACACACACGCACCCACGGCACACACACACGTCTACCCACACGTACTACCCACCCACACACACACACCCAAACACACACACACACCCACACACACACCCACACACACACACACCCACACACACACACGCACACCCCACACTCCCACACGCACGCACACCACACACACCACCCACACAGTCTACCCACACAACCCACACACGTCTACCCACCCACCCACACACACGTCTACCCACCCACACGTCTACCCACACAGCTAGTAAGTGAGTGAGCTAGTGAGTGAGTGAGGGAGCGAGTGAGTGAGCTAGTAAGTGAGCTAGCGAGTGAGTTAACTAGCTAGTGAGTGAGCTAATCAGTGAGTGAGCTAGTGAGTGAGTGAGCTAGTGAGTGAGCTAGCTACTGAGTGAGCTAGTGAGTGAGTGAGCTAGTGAGTGAGCTAGCTAGTGAGTGAGCTAGTGAGTGAGCTAGTGAGTGAGCTAGTAAGTGAGTGAGCTAGTGAATGAGCTAGTGAGTGAGCTAGCGAGTGAGCTAGCTAGTGAGTGAGTGAGCTAGTGAGTGAGCTAGTGAGTGAGCTAGTGAGTGAGTGAGCTAGTGAGTGAGCTAGTGAGTGAGCTAGTGAGTGAGTGAGCTAGTGAGTGAGCTAGTGAGTGAGCTAGCTACCTAGTGAGTGAGCTAGTGAGTGAGTGAGCTAGCTACCTAGTGAGTGAGCTAGTGAGTGAGTGAGCTAGTGAGTGAGCTAGCTACCTAGTGAGTGAGCTAGTGAGTGAGTGAGCTAGCTACCTAGTGAGTGAGCTAGTGAGTGAGTGAGCTAGCTACCTAGTGAGTGAGCTAGCGAGTGAGTGAGCTAGCGAGTGAGCTAGCGAGTGAGTGAGTGAGTGAGCTAGCGAGTGAGTGAGCTAGCGAGTGAGCTAGCGAGTGAGCTAGTGAGTGAGTGAGCTAGCGAGTGAGTGAGCTAGCGAGTGAGCTAGCAAGTGAGTGAGTGAGCTAGCGAGTGAGCTAGCTAGTGAGTGAGCTAGCTAGCGACCTAGTGAGTGACCTAGTGAGTGAGCTAGTGAGTGAGTGAGCTAGTGAGTGAGCTAGTGAGTGAGCTAGCTAGCTAGTGAGTGAGCTAGCGAGTGAGCTAGCGAGTGAGCTAGTGAGTGAGTGAGCTAGCGAGTGAGTGAGCTAGCGAGTGAGCTAGCAAGTGAGTGAGTGAGTGAGCTAGCGAGTGAGCTAGCTAGTGAGTGAGCTAGCTAGCGACCTAGTGAGTGACCTAGTGAGTGAGCTAGTGAGTGAGTGAGCTAGTGAGTGAGCTAGTGAGTGAGCTAGCTAGCTAGTGAGTGAGCTAGCGAGTGAGTGAGTGAGCTAGCGAGTGAGCTAGCGACCTAGTGAGTGAGCTAGTGAGTGAGCTAGTGAGTGAGCTAGTGAGTGAGAGCTAGCTAGTAGTGAGTGAGCGAGCGAGTGACCCAGATGCTCGCGTGCGAGGGCGACTCACGTTGGGAAGGTCACGGAGGTCGTTGAGGATGCCCTCCAGCACGGTGGAGAGAGTCACCATGGGGTCCGTGCGTCGCCGGTGGATCGACTTGTTGGGGCGCTGCTCGCAACCACACACACAGACACAGTGTAGTGTAGTGTGTAGTGTAGTGTGTAGTGTATAGTGTGTAGTGTAGTGTATAGTGTATTGTAGTGTATAGTAGTGTAGTGTATAGTGTGTAGTGTATAGTGTGTAGTGTATAGTAGTGTATAGTGTAGTGTATAGTGTAGTGTATAGTGTAGTGTGTAGTGTAGTGTATAGTCTGTAGTGTAGTGTATAGTGTGTAGTGTAGTGTGTAGTGTATAGTGTGTAGTGTAGTGTATAGTGTGTAGTGAAGTGTGTAGTGTATAGTGTGTAGTGTATAGTGTGTAGTGTATAGTGTGTAGTGTAGTGTGTAGTGTATAGTGTGTAGTGTAGTGTATAGTGTGTAGTGAAGTGTGTAGTATATAGTGTAGTGTATAGTGTGTAGTGTAGTGTATAGTGTGGTGTATAGTGTGTAGTGTATAGTGTATAGTGAGTAGTGTATAGTGTAGTGTGTAGTGTATAGTGTGTAGTGTATAGTGTGTAGTGTAGTGTGTAGTGTAGTGTATAGTGTGTAGTGTAGTGTGTAGTGTATAGTGTAGTGTATAGTGTAGTGTATAGTGTGTAGTGTAGTGTATAGTAGTGTATAGTGTAGTGTGTAGTGTAGTGTATAGTGTAGTGTATAGTGTATAGTGAGTAGTGTATAGTGTAGTGTATAGTGTGCAGTGTAGTGTATAGTGTAGTTTCGTGTATAGTGTAGTGTATAGTAGTGTCGTGTATAGTGTAGTGTATAGTAGTGTATAGAGTAGTGTATAGTGTAGTGTATAGTGTGCAGTGTAGTGTATAGTGTATAGTGAGTAGTGTATAGTGTAGTGTATAGTGTAGTGTATAGTAGTGTATAGTGTAGTGTATAGTGTAGTGTGTAGTGTATATTGTGTAGTGTATAGTGTAGTGTATAGTAGTGTATAGTGTAGTGTATAGTGTAGTGTATAGTAGTGTAGTGTATAGTAGTGTAGTGTATAGTGTGTAGTGTAGTGTATAGTGTATTGAAGAGTGTAGTGTATAGTGTAGTGTATAGCGTATAGTAAAGTGTATAGTGTAGTGTATAGTGTATAGTAGTGTAGTGTATAGTGTAGTGTGTACTGTAGTGTATAGTAGTGTATAGTGTAGTGTATAGTGTAGTGTGTAGTGTATAGTGTAGTGTACAGTAGTGTAGTGTATAGTGTAGTGTATAGTGTTGTGTATAGTAGTGAAATGTACAGTGTAGTGTAGTGTATAGTGTAGTGTATAGTGTAGTGCATAGTAGTGTAGTGTATAGTATAGTGTATACAGTGTAGTGTAGTGTATAGTAGTGTAGTGTATAGTAGTGTAGTGTATAGTAGTGTAGTGTACAGTGTAGTGTACAGTGTGTAGAGGTGACGCACGTTGAGGTAGTCGCAGTGCAGAGTGGATGGAGTCCGTTTCTTCTTCTTCTGTGGAACGGGCGGCTTGGGGAACTTGAGCACGAGCGAGAGACGCCGTACCTCGTCCGCACTGACACACACAGACACACACAGACACACACACACACACAGACACACTGTTACATACTGTTACATACTGTTACACACACATACACACTGTTACACACTGTTACACACACACACTGTTACACACTGTTACACACACACACTGTTACACACTGTTACACACACAGACACACACAGACACACACACACACACAGACACACTGTTACACACACACACTGTTACACACACACTGTTACACACACACTGTTACACACTGTTACACACACACACACTGTTACACACACACACTGTTACACACTGTTACACACACACACTGTTACACACTGTTACACACACACACACTGTTACACACTGTTACACACTGTTACACACACACACACTGTTACACACACACACACTGTTACACACACACACTGTTACACACTGTTACACACACACACTGTTACACACACACACACTGTTACACACACACAGACTGTTACACACACACACTGTTACACACACACAGACTGTTACACACACACACTGTTACACACACTGTTACACACTGACACACACACACACACTGTTACACACTGACACACACACACACACTGTTACACACACTGTTACACACTGTTACACACACACACTGTTACACACACTGTTACACACACACACTGTTACACACACACACTGTTACACACTGTTACACACACACTGTTACACACACTGTTACACACACACAGACACACACACAGACACACACTGTTACACACACTGTTACACACACACACACTGTTACACACTGTTACACACACACACACTGTTACACACACTGTTACACACACACACACTGTTACACACTGTTACACACACACACTGTTACACACACTGTTACACACACACACAGACACTGTTACACACTGTTACACACACACACACTGTTACACACACACACACTGTTACACACTGTTACACACACACACACTGTTACACACACACTGTTACACACACACACAGACACTGTTACACACTGTTACACACACACACACTGTTACACACACACACACTGTTACACACTGTTACACACACACACACTGTTACACACTGTTACACACACACACACTGTTACACACACACACACACTGTTACACACTGTTACACACACACTGTTACACACACACTGTTACACACACTGTTACACACACACTGTTACACACACTGTTACACACACACAGACACACACACAGACACACACTGTTACACACACACACACTGTTACACACACTGTTACACACACACAGACACACACACAGACACACACTGTTACACACACACACTGTTACACACTGCTACACACACACACTGTTACACACTGTTACACACACACTGTTACACACACTGTTACACAGACACACACAGACACACACACACAGACTGTTACACACACTGTTACACACACAGACTGGTACACACACTGTTAGACACACAGACACACACAGACACACACAGACACACACTGTTACACACACACAGACACACACAGACACACACACACTGTTACACACTGTTACACACACAGACTGTTACACACACTGTTACACACACACACAGACACACACACACACACAGACACACACACACACACACACAGACACACACAGACACACACACAGACACACACACACACACACACACACACAGACACACACACACAGACACACACAGACACACACACAGACACACATACACAGACACACACAGACACACACACAGACACACACACAGACACACACACACACACACAGACACACACACACACAGACACACACACAGACACACACACACAACAACAACCGCCATTCGTCATTAAGTGGCAGTGACGTCACCCCGACGCTTGTGCCAGGCCATGTGCACCTTGAGGTGTGTCTGTGTGTGTGTCTGTGTGTGTGTCTGTGTGTGTCTGTGTGTGTGTGTCTGTCTGTGTGTGTCTGTGTGTGTCTGTGTGACTGGCCTGGCACAAACGTCGTGGTGACGTCACCGCCACTTGGTGGCGAATGGCGGTTGTTGTTGTTGTGTGAGTGTCTGTGTGTGTCTTTGTGTGTGTGTCTGTGTCTAGTCCAGCAAAACAACCCCCTACCTCCTCGCGGTGCCGGACGGGCAACTCTGTCGTGGACAGCGCTGTGGGGGGAGGGGCCAATTCCAATTGGCTCCTCCCCTCATGGCGTCTGTGTCCACCACAGTGGCTAAACGGGGGCTCTGAATGGGTGCGAGGGGCTGGTAACCCCTCCACCTTCAATTACCACTAAACCACGAGTTAAACTGAAATATGTAACTTATAAGCTTGTGCCGGAGGCCCCGGGGGGACAGGCGTCTATGACGTCTCCTGGCCAAACCCCAATTGGCGGAGCCAGGAGATTTAATCTCTACCCTCGGGGCTCCTCCAGAAACAACGTAAAGTCACTACGGATGGCAACGAGGAATGTTCGAACGCTCACTACGGAGGAGAGGCTGCCACTCCTCTGCCGGGAGCTGGACCGGTACCGCCTGGATCTCTGTGGCATTCAGGAGGTCCGGTGGACCGGTTGTGGCTCCTGCCACCATGAGGGGTGGACAGTCCTCTACTTGGGGCAGCAGACTGCCAAACAACAGGGTGTGGCTCTTCTTTTGAACAAAAGAATGAAGGGGGCGTGGGAGCGTGGCGGTGAGGTGTGGGAAGCTGTAAGCCCCAGGCTACTTTGGGCTCGACTTCCCATCAACGGAGGCGAGGAGTGGTGGTCGTGGTTACTTATGCCCCCACCGAAGACGAGCATCCGTGGAGGGATGCAGGCAAAGCCAATGACTCAGATGCCTTCTATGACCTCCTGTCACAGGTGCTGGCTAAAGTGGCACCTCGGGATAGAGTTATCATGTTGGGTGACTTCAACGCCCGAGTTGGTCATGATGCTGGCACCTGGTCTGGAGTGATTGGAGGGCATGGGCCAGATTAGCTAAATAACAATGGTAGGAGGCTGATAGATTTTTGTGCAGCCCATGGGCTTGTAATTACAAACACGCTGTTCCGGCATCGGCGCATCCACACAACATCATGGATGCACGCCGGGTCCAAGCAAGAACATCTGCTGGACTACAAAGTGACGGACCAGCGGATGCGAGCCCATGTCCTTGACACCAGGACCTACCGTGGAGCTGATCTGCCCTCTGACCATCGACTAGTCATCTGTAAGATGTGCCTGCCATTCTTCCACTCTGGTGGTGGGTGTACACCCAGGACCCCATTCCAACCTAAAGTGGCCTGGTCTTAGTTATCTGATGAAAGTTGCAAGCGAGAATTTCATCATTGATTGCAGCTGGGATTGGCATCATCCCCCACTCCTCCTGATGTCGAGGGTAAATGGGCGAGGTTTAGGACTGTGACTCATGCAGCTGCAATGGCTGCTTTGGGTAATCGGTCCAGACCTCCCCAGAGACCCTGGCTGACAGAGGAGGTGTTCAGGATAGTTGAGAAAAAGCGACAGGCCCACTGTCATCGGCTACAGAATCCCACGTCAGAGAATGAGGAGGCTTACCGCAGCCTTCGCTCGGAGGTTCGGAGAGCCATGAGGCGCTGCAAGGATGGGTGGTGGTCGCGGGTTGCTGAGGAGAATGGAGTCTGCCTCAGTGGCCCGCGATCACAAATCTCTACTTAACTCCATCAAAAAAGTTACCTGCAGCGCCACACCTATGACCATTATTAGGGGAACAAACGGTGATCAATCTCCGACCCCCAGGAACAGGTTTGCAGATTTGCTGAGCATTTCTGTGAGGTCCTGCGGGAGGGAAAATCCCTCAGCCAGGAAAACATCGTGGCACAAAGTGAGGATGACCCTGCTGAGGCTGCGGTGCCTCAAATATTGGAATAAGTCACCCCCTGTGAGTGGCTGGCTGAAGGTACCATCTGTTGAGGAAGTACTGAAGGCGATCTGGAGCTGAGACCAGGAAAGGCAGCGGGCAGAGATGATCTCCTAAGCGAAATGCTGAGGGAGGGTGGCGTTTGTGCACAGACTGCCCTATATGACATCATAACAACAGTCTGGACCACTGGACGGGTTCCGCAGGATTGGAAGGATGCCCTGGTGGTCCCCCTTTTTAAGAAGGGGGAGCGCACAGACTGTAACAACTACGGGGGCATCTCACTCCTCAGTGTGCCGGGAAAGGTCCTGGCAAGGATTATTCAACATCGCCTTGCCAGGCACACTGAGGAGAGGCTTGCGGAGCCCCAGTGTGGTTTCAGGAAAGGGCAGTCCTGCACAGATGCCATATTTTATGTCCGTCTGCTACAGCAGAGGTGTAGGGAATTCCAACAAGACCTACATCTCTGCCTTATTGACCTGGTCAAGGCCTATGATACCATCAGTAGGCCTGGGCTCTGGGTTGTTCTTCGTGCTTTTGGAGTACCTGACCCTCTGCTCACGATCATTAAGGACCTTCATGATGGTGAGCGGGCCCGGGGAAACTACGTGGCCGGGAGTCAGAGCCATTCCCTGTACACCTTGGGGTGCGACAAGGGATGTCCTCCGGCTCCCACATTATTAACATCTATTTTGACCACGTAGTTCATGAAGCCTTCAATAGCTCTACCGGGGGAATCTCCATTTGGTACAGATATCAATGGGAGGCTGATCGATGCCCGGGTGCGGTCAAGGGACGGCTCCCTATTGCTCAACCACGTTATGTATGCCGATGATTTGGTAATAGCTGCTCATTCAGAGGAGGAGTTGGAGACGCTGCTGCTGAGACTGGAGCGTGCCACTAAGAGGTGGGGCCTTACCATCAGCCCCACCAAAACCAAGCACCTGCCTGGGTATTTTGTACCATCGGACACTCCACCCCCACAACTCCCAATCGGTGATGGGGCAGTTGTGGAGAGAGTGGAGAGTTTCCCATACCTGGGCAGTGTGCTTATGACTGGCACCAGTTTAACAGCAGAGGTCTCACTCCGAAACAGTCGAGCGGCCAATATCTTTTCATCGGTTGCGTAACGTTGTGTGGAAGCTACCTGGTCTGTCGCTCCACACTAAGCTTCAGGTCTTCTCGGCCATGGTCATTCCCTCCCTTCTCTACGCTAGCGAAACGTGGACCCCCCTAATGGAACATCTTCGCCGGTTGGAAACAATTAGGCTGGCCTGCCTACGATCCATCCTGGGTCTAACCAGGCTGGATTGTGTGAGGAGCTCACAAATCCTTGAAAGATCTGGGCAAGGTCCCATCGGTGAGCTCCTCCCGCAGGCAAGGCTGCGTTGGCTGGGTCATGTAGCCCGCATGCCCAGCCACCGCATGCCAAAACAGCTTTTGTTCGGCCTGATCGAGGGGGCTAAACGGGCGCGGCACGGGCTAGAGAAGAGATGGAGTGACGTGGTACAGGAGGACGTGGAGCTGAGTGAACTTGCCGATGACCGGTACCAGCGGTGTCAAGATCGGCCTCTGTGGAGGAGGCTCGTGAAGGACGCTGCTGGGCAGTTGGAGGCAGTCGCCCTCCAACAACAACGGAGGGCGGAAGAGCGACGCTCACAACAACGAGCGGAGCGCCGGGTGGCTAAAGCACAGCAGGTTGGCACAGTAGGGGGCACAGGTGGTGCATCAGCCAGTCATCTCAGTCATCTCAGTCAGTCGACCCGTGGCACCTGGGTCTGCCCATGACCTCCTTGCCCGTGGACGTTCGACACTTCACGTGGCCTCAAGGTGCACATAGCCTGGCACAAGCGTCGTGGTGACGTCACCACCACTTAGTGGCGAATGGCGGTTGTTGTTGTTGTTGTGTGTTTGTGTCTGTGTCTGTGTGCGTGTGTGTGTGCGTGTGTCTGTGTGTGTGTCTGTGTGTGTGTCTGTGTGTGTGTGTCTGTGTGTGTGTGCGTGTGTGTGTGCATGTGTCTGTGTGTGTGTCTGTGTGTGTGTGCGTGTGTGCGTATCTGTGTGTGTCTGTGTGTGTGTGTCTGTGTGTGTGTGTCTGTGTGTGTGTGTGTGTCTGTGTGTGTGTGTGTGTCTGTGTGTGTCTGTGTGTGTCTGTGTGTGTGTGTGTGTCACCTCTCTATGAGCTGCTTGCCCAGCACGATCTTGGTCCCCTCCACCTTGATGAGCTCCTCGTTGTCGTTGGCGATGACGGTGCGCTCCAGCTCCTCCTCCTGCTCCTCCGTCATGGCGACGGGGTTGGAGGGGGGCGCGTTGGTCTGGTAGTACAGGGGGCAGCACTTGTTGGTGCGCATGTGGCCGATGGCGCCACACGCACCACACTTCAGCTTGCCGGGGGGAGGGGGCGGCGAGGGAGGGAGAGACCGTTCAGAGTGAGTTGACCGTTCCAAGAGCGGGTGGGTGGGTGAGTGAGTGGGTGGGTGAGTGGGTGGGTGGGTGGGTGAGCGGGTGGGTGGGTGAGTGGGTGAGTGGGTGAGTGGTGTGAGCGGTGTGAGCGGGTGGGTGAGTGGGTGGGTGGGTGGGTGAGCAGGCGGCTGGGTGAGTGAGCGGGTGGGTGGGTGAGTGGGTGGGTGGGTGAGCGAGTGGCTGAGCAAGTGGCTGGGTGAGTGAGCGGCTAGGTGAGTGAGCGTGTGTGCGAGTGAGCATGTGGTTGGGTGGGTGAGCAGGCAGCTGGGTGAGTGAGCGGGTGGGTGAGTGGGTGGGTGAACGAGCGGCTGGGTGAGCGAATGGGTGGTTGAGCGTGTGGGTGAGCGTGTGGGTGAGCGTGTGGGTGAGCGTGTGGGTGAGCGTGTGGGTGAGCGTGTGGGTGAGCACGTTACCCTCACCTTGAGATCCGGTCGCTCCTTCACTTTCTTGGGCTTCTTCTCAGGCGGAGCGCGTGTTCGCTCACGCTCCTGGTTACGCTTCAATCTCCGCAGCTGCTCCTGTGGGGAGGAGAAGCCGGGAGCCAGGCGGAGTCACGGGGAGACGCGGGGAGACACGGGGAGACAGAGGGAGACAGAGGGAGACACGGGGAGACGCGGGGAGACCGCGGGGAGTCATGGTGAGACACGGGGAGACGCGGGGAGACAGAGAGAGATAAGGGAGACTTGGGGAGTCATGGTGAGACACGGGGAGACACGCGGAGACACGGGGAGTCAGGGTGAGACACGGGGAGACACGGGGAGTCATGGTGAGGACACGGGGAGACACGGGGAGACACGGGGAGACACGGGGAGACACGGTGAGACACGGGGAGACGCGGGGAGACAGAGAGAGATAAGGGGAGACTTGGGGAGTCCATGGTGAGACACGGGGAGACACGCGGAGACACGGGGAGTCAGAGTGAGACACGGGGAGACACGCGGAGACACGGGGAGTCAGGGTGAGACACGGGGAGACAGAGAGAGATAAGGGAGGACACGGGGAGTCAGGGTGAGACACGGGGAGTCAGGGTGAGACACGGGGAGACACGGGGAGACACGGGGAGACAGAGACACGGTGAGACACAGTGAGACACGTGGAGACACGGTGAGACAGAGACACGGTGAGACAACAGTGAGACACGGTGAGACAGAGACACAGTGAGACAGAGACACGGTGAGACAGAGACACAGTGAGACAGAGACACGGTGAGACAGAGACACAGTGAGACAGAGACACGGTGATGAGACAGAGACACAGTGAGACAGAGACACGGTGAGACAGAGACACAGTGAGACAGAGACACGGTGAGACAGAGACACAGTGAGACAGAGACACGGTGAGACAGAGACACAGTGAGACAGAGACACGTGGAGACACGGAGTGAGACGCTACCTGAATCCTCCGGCGCTCTCTCCTCATCTCCTCCCTGTGCTGCTCATCGTAGAGCGCAAACTTCTTACTGGGGGGGGCGGGGGGGGGGGGGGGGGGGGGTGGGGGGGGGGGCGGGGGGGGTGGGGGGGTGGGGGTGGGGTTAGCTGGGGGCCAAGTTGGTGGCAGCAGCGTGGTGGCGATGGTGGTGGTGGTGGTGATGGTGGTGGTGGTGATGGTGGTGGTGATGGTGGTGGTGGTGATGGTGGTTGGTGATGGTGGTGGTGGTGATGGTGGTGGTGATGGTGGTGATGGTGGTGGTGATGGTGGTGGTGATGGTGGTGGTGATGGTGATGGTGACAGTGGTGATGGTGGTGATGGTGGTGGTGATGGTGGTGGTGATGGTGATGGTGACAGTGGTGATGATGGTGATGGTGATGATGGTGGTGGTGATGATGGTGGTGGTGACGATGATGGTGGTGGTGGTGGTGATGGTGGTGATGGTGGTGGTGATGATGGTGGTGACGGTGGTGGTGGTGGTGATGGTGGTGACGGTGGTGGTGACAGTGGTGATGGTGGTGGTGACGGTGATGATGGTGGTGGTGACAGTGGTGGTGGTGATGGTGGTGGTGGTGACAGTGGTGATGATGGTGGTGATGATGGTGGTGGTAGTGATGATGGTGGTGGTGACAGTGGTGGTGACAGTGGTGGTGGTGATGATGGTGGTGGTGATGGTGGTGGTGATGGTGGTGATGGTGATGGTGGTGACGGTGGTGATGGTGATGACGGTGGTGATGACGATGATGGTGGCGATGATGGTGGTGGTGACGATGATGGTGGTGATGACGATGATGGTGATGGTGGCGATGATGGTGGTGGTGGTGACGATGATGATGATGGTGACGATGATGATGATGGTGGTGGTGACGATGATGATGATGGTGGTGGTGGTGGTGATGATGGTGGTGGTGGTGATGATGGTGGTGACAGTGGTGACGACGATGATGGTGGTGACAGTGGTGGTGGTGGTGACGATGATGGTGGTGGTGACAGTGGTGGTAATGGTGGTGACGACGATGGTGATGATGGTGGTGACGACGATGATCGTGATGGTGGTGACGATGATGGTGGTGGTAGTGACAGTGGTGGTGATGATGATGGTGGTGGTAGTGACAGTGGTGGTGATGACGATGGTGGTGGTGGTGACAGTGGTGATGATGGTGGTGACGATGATGATGGTGATGGTGGTAGTGACGATGATGATGATAGTGGTGGTAGTGACAGTGGTGGTGACGATGATGGTGGTGGTGATGATGGTGGTGGTGGTGACAGTGGTGATGATGGTGGTGGTGACAGTGGTGATGATGGTGGTGGTGACAGTGGTGATGATGGTGGTGATGATGATGGTGGTGACAGTGGTGATGGTGGTGGTGACGATGATGGTGGTGGTAGTGACAGTGGTGGTGACGATGATGGTGGTGGTGGTGGTGGTGACAGTGGTGATGACGGTGGTGATGATGGTGGTGATGATGATGGTGGTGGTGACAGCGGTGATGATGGTGGTGACGACGATGATGGTGGTGGCGGTGGACGCCGGTGCACGCCGGTGGACCCACATGAAGTCGTCGTCCTTGGTGGAGCGTATTCGTGCGTATGCGTCGATGACGGCCGCCTTGCGCACCGTCTCACAGCGGACGTACTCCTTCCCCTCCTCGTCACGGAACGTGCGGTAGATCTTCAGCCGGCGCCCGGCGGCGCTCGAGGGTCATGGACGCCACCGAGGCGCGTCGTCGTCGCCGCCGCCGCGGTGCTGCTGTGGAGGCCGCCGCCGCCGCCGCCGGCGCCACCGGCACCGCCGCCCAGGCCAATGACTGCGGGGGCGGGGGAGGTATATCACGGGAGGGTCACGGGAGGGGCACGGGAGGGACACGGGAGGGTCACGGGAGGGTCGCCGGGGGTCACGGGAGGGTGAACAGGGGTCACGGGAGGGTCCCGGGAGGGTCACAGGAGGGTCACGGGAGGGTCGCGGGAGGGACATGGGAGGGTCACGGGAGGGTCACGGGAGGGTCGCCGGGGGTCACGGGAGGGGTGAACAGGGGTCACGGGAGGGTCACGGGAGGGTCACGGGAGGGTCACGGGAGGGTCGCGGGAGGATCAACAGGACTCATGGTAGGGTTAAAGGTCACGGGAGGGTCGCCCGGGTCGCGGGAGGGTCAACTAGGGGATCACCACCGCCCCCGCCCCGACTCACGTGAGACGCGCCTCTCACGCCCTCCGATGGCGCGGCCCCCACCACCACCACCACCTCCTCCTCCACCTCCTCCTCCACCTCCTCTGCCCGATCCTCCACCTCCACCGTCGTCGTCGCCGCCGCCGCCGTCATCGTCCCCTCGCTGCCGCCGCCGCCGCGGCCGCGGCCGCGGCCGCGGCCCCGCCATCATCATCATGCGGTGCAGCTCGTGCCGCTCGTGCTCCTCGCGCTCACGGCACAGCTGCTGCAGCGAGTGCTTGCCGCGCTGCTGCCTGCAGCATGCTCTCCAGCGACTTGCCCCATCTCCTCAAAGTCGCTGTCCTCGCCCGAGCTGCTCTCGTCGTCCGTCGACAGCACCTCCGTCGACGAGAGCACCCTGGGGCGGGGCGGCGGGGCGGGGGGGGCGTGTTGTACACGAGCCTTTTCCATCATTGATATTAACAATAATACCCGCCGATATATATTTTTTTAATAATAAAGGAAACAACGCATTAAAAACACGCAAACCCAAAAACGCGCAAACACAGATGGAGATCATAAACAGGCCATATAATAAATAAAGAAATAATAAATCTCTCGAGGCGATGGATGTTAGCAGCTATCTGCGAAGATCTCCAGATGAACAAGAGTTTTGATGTGCCCTAAGGGAGGTCACGCAGAGGGAAGCCCTCCGCAAGCCAGAAACGGGGACGCCCACGGGGTTAAACCATATATATTTATTTTGTCATTAAAACAACGGTTAAATTTAAAATGCAATAACAAGAATAAGCCAAAGTTAGCGGTCCTCGCGCTCACTCCAATTAAGACCAGGCCACCAGATACATCAGTGAATTATTATCCAATAATTAATTCGCTATCGAATGATTTTCACCTTTAATGCTTTTACTGTTAAAACAAAGCTTGGAAACAGAAATACCGAGTCACATTAAAGGTTATTGAGAAGGAATGAGGCGAACGGGCAAACTTGCGAAAGAGTTTAAACAAAATCCCAAGCAACCCCGACCACCTTTGTCTCTCTCGCAGCGCGGAGAAGCAGGAATCACAAGGGGGGCCAATCTGGAGCTAGCCAGACGGCTTAATGAGAAAACACACACAACAGCCAGCAAGCACGTTTTTAAGTTAAAGAAGTGACTACACATCAGTCACACATAAAATTAAGAATAACGTGTTCACCTTACACGACATGCCTTTATAGAACCTTACAGAACCAAGGGATATGGATTCCAACAATCAAGAAACGGACCTCTTAAACTCAGGATGAAAATTATTTTCTTTTTAATAATTCCATCATAACAATGCGAACCTCGGTAAACCGAGAGGGTGTGTCGGGAGGACGGTAGTTGCAAACACGAGTCTTGGCGAACATGGGACCAAATGGTATTTGAGAAATATGAAGTCGAAAGTATAAAGAGATAGGTGCTCCCGACCACCTTTGTCTCTCCCGCAGAGCGCGAGAGAGGAATTTCACGCCAGGGCAAAACAGATCGTTATCGCAGGAGCCATCTGTACACACACACGAACTCACACACACAGACCACGCCCCCACCCCCCTTTTCCACTGCGCGGAGAGAATTGTCTTTGAATATAACGGTCAGCCGCATTTTCAAAGTCAGCCAACAGTTAAGTCAGTCAAGAGAGAGTGAAGTCAGTCAAGACAGATCAGCGAGTCAAGACGTCCACAGGACAAGCAGTCGCATGGAGCGGCTGGCTCTGAGCCTCGCTGAGTAGCGAGGATCCCCGAGTCGCGACGTATCAACAAAAGTGAGTCATACAGCAGTGGAGAGAAACCTGCTGTCAGCGAACCAAGCACGGGCACGTTCGCGCACTTCAACAGAGAGAGCACGTGCGAATCAACTCACTCAACAGAAGAAAAAGCTTGGCCAGCCGCCAACAAAGTACCAGCGAATCAGCGCTGAGAGCGCTCGAGCATCTCCACAGAGGAAGCACGTGCAACGTGGCTCAACCAGCAGCGGAAAAGCACGAGCAGCCGCCAACAACTTCAGCAAACCAGCGACCAAGCGCGTGCGACTTGAGCCGTACAGCGGCGGAGGGAACCTGCTGCCAGAGAGCCGCCAACAACCTCAACAAGAGAGAGGGCGCGTGCGACTCGGCTCACTCAGCAGAAGAAAAACTTGACCTGTCGCCCGCGAGCGCTGCGTCAGATACTACCAGCAGCGGAAAGAGCGCGGCCAGCAACGCCAAGCAAGAGCGTGCAGCGGCTCAGCCAGCAGTGGAGAGAAACTGCTGTCAGCGAACCAGCACGGGACGCGTTCGCGCATCTTCAAGGAGAGGGAGCGCGCGCCACCAGCGTGCCATCGGCACCAGCATCGGCACCAGCGCGTGCCAACAGCGTGCCACCAGCGTGCCACCAGCACCAGCACCAGCGCGTGCCAACAGCGTGCCACCAGCTTGCCACAGCGCGCAACTTCGCATCACCAGAGCTGAGAGGGCAGCGGCCCCGCACTCAACACCCATCGGCGCGACGACGGCGAGCGTCGTGCCGACTCATCCAGCCAGCGGTGGACAGAAACTGGCAGCCGTTCGTATGCCCTCCCCCCCCACACTCTCCCCCTCCTCCTCCTCACTCCCCCACCGCTACACGACGAACACAAACTTTTTTTTTCGACAAGGAAATCAACCTAGGCGTTTGCTCAATGCAAGAAATCAACAACGCTCCCATTAAACGTACAAGACTCATGATAACTGCGTCAACTATTAGCTGATAACGAAAAACATCGCCACCCATTGAGTTACGTTGATGAGGCAATCAGAAGCATTTCAGTCGAACGCTTTAATTGCATAATCGTTGATGAATCAATGAACGAACATCGCCCGTGGTACTGTGCTGACGATCTCAAGCATAATAATTCCGCATATCAGAATGTGTTAAGGATTGGATACGAATCAAAGACCGAGTGCCGTGTTGTGTAATAATTCAAGTATACGAATTTGTATATAATAGAGTTAAGGTTTGATAGAATAGTTTATGCATGTTTAATCTCTCTCTCAACAACCGATTGATTGCGTTACGCGCCGGGAATTAACCACAGGTGCCGCTATCGAGGGTGAAACAACGCAATCGTGATGGTATCATGTTAACGCCGTGTTGAAATTCCAAAATCTCGAGATTGAGTTTTCATATTATCCAAAAATTAAAGTTAGCTAGAAAACAAAATTGATTAAAGCAGAAGGTCTGTGTGTGATTCTTCCTGAAATTCTGCGTAATATTGTTCTGCGTATGAGATCTGAATCCTGGGGACCTATCATAAGCACACTATCACCACACATAATCCATAACACACATAATTCATAATGTTCAATCGAGAGTAATCATATCCTTATCGATAATACGGAATTAAACAGCAGAGTCGAATCGACTCTCTCTCATTCATGCTCACAACACCTACAAAACTGCATACGATCAATTGCGTTATTCCAATTCATAACACAATCCTCGTCACCGAGGCTCGACCTGCATTATCATAACCACGCCCACTCTCGAATCAGTATAATTTATGCACATAATTACAATAAATTAACATGAATTAGGATAAATTATGCAAATTTCAAATTTCATTTAATTTTCATTATTTTCATCAATTTTCGTAACACCTATATATACAACAGGGGGACAGCCGCGGAGTTCGCGAGCGGACGAGGTCGGTGATGCGTCACCCCGTGACCCCGCACACCCCCCCGCCGTGTCTCGCCGTGGCGTCTCCCCGTGTCTCCCCGTGTCTCCTCGTGGTGTCTCACCGTGATCCCCGTGTCTCCCCGTGGTCTCCCCATGGTGTCTCCCCCCGTGGTGTCCCACCGTGGTGTCCCCCCCGTGTCTCCCTGTGTCCCACCATGTCTCCCCGTGGTCTCCCCCCGTGGTCTCCCCCCGTGGTGTCCCACCGTGTCTCCCCGTGTCTCCCTGTGTCCCACCGTGTCTCCCCGTGTCTCCCCGTGTCCCACCGTGTCTCCCCGTGTCTCCCCATGTCCCCCGTGTCTCCCCATGTCCCCCGTGTCTCCCCGTGTCCCACCGTGTCTCCCCGTGTCTCCCCGTGTCTCCCCGTGGTGTCTCCCCGTGTCCCACTGTGGTCTCCCCGTGGTGTCCCACCGTGGTGTGTCCCACCGTGGTGTGTCCCACCGTGGTGTCCCACCGTGGTGTGTCCCCCGAGTCACCCCGTGTCCCCCCGTGTCTCCCCGTGTCTCCCCGTGTCCCACTGTGGTCTCCCCGTGGTGTCCCACCGTGGTGTGTCCCCCGTGTCCCCCCGTGTCCCACCGTGTCTCCCCGTGTCTCCCCGTGTCCCCCGTGTCTCCCCGTGTCCCACCGTGTCTCCCCGTGTCCACTGTGGTCTCCCCGTGGTGTCCCACCGTGGTGTGTCCCCCGTGTCTCCCCGTGTCCCCCCGTGTCTCCCCGTTGTCCTCCCCGTGTCCCACTGTGGTCTCCCCGTGGTGTCCCACCGTGGTGTGTCCCCCGTGTCCCCCGTGTCCCCCCGTGTCTCCCCGTGTCTCCCCGTGTCCCACTGTGGTCTCCCCGTGGTGTCCCACCGTGGTGTGTCCCCCGTGTCTCCCCGTGTCCACCGTGTCTCCCCGTGTCTCCCCGTGTCCCCCCGTGTCTCCCCGTGTCTCCCCGTGTCCCACTGTGGTCTCCCCGTGGTGTCCCACCGTGGTGTTGTCCCCCCGTGTCTCCCCGTGTCCCCCGTGTCCCCCCGTGTCTCCCCGTGTCTCCCCCGTGTCCCACTGTGGTCTCCCCGTGGTGTCCCACCGTGGTGTGTCCCCCGTGTCTCCCCGTGTCTCCCCGTGTCCCCCGTGTCTCCCCCGTGGTGTCTCCCCGTGGTGTCCCCACCGTGACCCCCCGTGTCTCCCGTGGCGTCTCACCCCCCCCACCCCCTCCCCCCCACCCCCCCACCCCCCAGCCCCTCCCCCCACCCCCCCACCCCCCCAGCCCCCCCCCCAGCCCCCACACCGACAGGCAGCAGGCCCCTACTTGTTCTGCAGGTCGAAGATCCGCTGGCACTCCTCCTTGTAGCGCTCCTGGTGCTCGGCTACGGAGAAGCGCGACCCGCGGGCAAACTTGGACATGGGGCCCTCGCCGGAGCGCGCCTGCTCAGTGGACATGGTGCGGACGACGTCGATGACTTCCCAGCGAGACAGCTTCTTGATCTACACAGACACAGAGACACAGACAAAGAGACAGAGAGAGACAGTGGACATGGTGCGGACGACGTCGATGACTTCCCAGCGAGACAGCTTCTTGATCTACACAGACAGAGAGACACAGACAGAGAGACAGAGACACAGAGACAGAGAGAGAGACACAGATAGAGACACAGACACAGAGACAGAGACAGGGACAAGGTGCGGACGACGTCGATGACTTCCCAGCGAGACAGCTTCTTGATCTACACAGAGACAGAGACACAGAGAGACAGAGAGACAGAGAGACAGAGACACAGAGACAGAGAGAGACAGAGAGACAGAGAGACAGTGGACATGGTGCGGACGACGTCGATGACTTCCCAGCGAGACAGCTTCTTGATCTACACAGACACAGAGACAGGGAGACAGAGAGAGAGACACAGAGAGAGAGACACAGACACAGAGAGACAGAGAGACAGAGAGACAGAGACAGAGAGACAGAGACAGGGAGACAGAGAGAGAGACACAGACACAGAGAGAGACAGACAGAGAGACAGTGGACATGGTGCGGACGACGTCGATGACTTCCCAGCGAGACAGCTTCTTGATCTACACAGACACAGAGACAGGGAGACAGAGAGACAGAGAGAGAGACACAGAGAGAGAGACACAGACACAGAGAGACAGAGAGACAGAGAGACAGAGACAGAGAGACAGAGACAGGGAGACAGAGAGAGAGACACAGACACAGAGAGAGACAGACAGAGAGACAGTGGACATGGTGCGGACGACGTCGATGACTTCCCAGCGAGACAGCATCTTGATCTACACAGACACAGAGACAGGGAGACAGAGAGACAGAGAGAGAGACACAGAGAGAGAGACACAGACACAGAGAGACAGAGAGACAGAGACAGAGAGACAGAGACAGGGAGACAGAGAGAGAGACACAGACACAGCGAGAGACAGACAGAGAGACAGTGGACATGGTGCGGACGACATCGATGACTTCCCAGCGAGACAGCTTCTTGATCTACACAGACACAGAGACAGAGACACAGACAGAGAGAGAGACACAGACACAGAGAGACAGAGACAGACAGACAGACAGTGGACATGGTGCGGACGACGTCGATGACTTCCCAGCGAGACAGCTTCTTGATCTACACAGACACAGAGACAGAGAGACACAGACAGAGACACAGACAGAGAGACAGAGACAGACAGAGAGACAGAGACACAGAGAGAGAGACAGAGAGACAGAGACAGAGAGACAAAGACACACAGAGACACAGAGACAGAGAGACACAGAGAGAGACAGAGAGAGACACAGAGACAGAGAGACAGTGGGAGAGACAGAGACAGACAGAGAGACAGAGACACAGAGACAGAGACAGAGAGAGAGACAGAGACAGAGAGACACAGACACAGAGAGAGACAGAGACAGACAGAGAGACAGAGAGAGACAGAGACAGAGAGACAGAGAGAGACACAGAGACAGACAGAGAGACAGAGAGATACACAGAGACAGAGAGAGACACAGAGACAGAGAGACAGTGGGAGAGACAGAGAGGAGAGTGGGAGAGAGAGAAAGACAGAGAGAGATGGAGGGAGGAGGTGGAGGAGGAGCAGGAGGAGGAGGAGCAGGACGAGGAGGAGGTGGAGGAGGAGGAGGAGGAGGAGCAGGAGGAGGAGGTGGAGGAGGAGCAGGAGGAGGAGCAGGAGGAGGTGGAGGAGGAGGAGGAGGAGGAGGAGGAGGAGCAGGAGGAGGAGGTGGAGGAGGAGCAGGAGGAGGAGCAGGAGGAGGAGGAGGAGGTGGAGCAGGAGGAGGAGGAGGAGCAGGAGGAGGAGGTGGAGGAGGGAGAGGAGCAGGAGGATGAGGAGGAGCAGGAGGTGGAGGAGATGAGGAAGAGCAGGAGGAGGAGGAGGTGGAGCAAGAGGAGGTGGAGCAGGAGGAGGTGGAGGAGGTGGAGGGAGAGGTGGAGGGAGAGGAGGAGGAGGATGAGGAGGAGGAGGAGGAGGTGACCCCACCTCGTCCTCCATGACCCCGAACTTGCGCAACAGCTGTTTGGCGTTCTTGAGGGAGAGGCGCCGCAGGTCGGCGTCCGTGCCGGTCACCGTCTTCTTGGCTGACGAGGGGGCGCTGTCGTCCTGGGGTCACGCAAGGGTCACGCAAGGGTCACGCAAGGGTCACGGAAGGGTCGGGCAAGGGTCACGGAAGGGTTGCGTAAGGGTCACGGAAGGGTCGCGTAAGGGTCACGGAAGGGTCATGGAAGGGTCGGGCAAGGGTCACGGAAGGGTCGCGTAAGGGTCATGGAAGGGTCGCGTAAGGGTCATGGAAGGGTCACAGAAGAGTCACAGAAGGGTCGTGCAAGGGTCACGGAAGGGTCGCGCAAGGGTCATGGAAGGGTCACAGAAGGGTCGGGCAAGGGTCACGGAAGGGTCGCGCAAGGGTCATGGAAGGGTCACAGAAGGGTCGGGCAAGGGTCACCAATACTATCCCCTTGCACCCCCACGACACACAATGTGGGGGTCTCAGTGAGGGGGTCTCAGTGAGGGTCTAGGCAAGGGGGTCTCATCAAGGGGGTCTCAGCGAGGGGTCTCAGTGAGGGGTCTCAGAAAGGGGTCTCAGCGAGGGGTCTCAGCGAGGGGTCGCAGAAAGGGGGTCTCAGCGAGGGGTCCCAGCGAGGGGTCTCAGTGAGGGGTCTCAGAAAGGGGGTCTCAGCGAGGGGTCTCAGCGAGGGGTCTCAGTGAGGGGGTCTCAGCGAGGGTGTCTAGGCAAGGGGGTCTCAGCGAGGGGGTCTAGTCAAGGGGGTCTCAGCGAGGGGTCTCAGCGAGGGGTCTCAGCGAGGGGTCTCAGCGAGGGGTCTCAGTGAGGGGTCTCAGAAAGGGGGTCTCAGCGAGGGGTCTCAGCGAGGGGTCACAGAAAGGGGGTCTCAGCGAGGGGTCTCAGCGAGGGGTCTCAGTGAGGGGTCTCAGAAAGGGGGTCTCAGCGAGGGGTCTCAGCGAGGGGTCTCAGTGAGGGGATCTCAGCGAGGGGGTCTAGGCAAGGGGGTCTCAGCGAGGGGGTCTAGTCAAGGGGGTCTCAGCGAGGGGTCTCAGCGAGGGGGTCTCAGCGAGGGGGTCTCAGCGAGGGGTCTCAGCGAGGGGTCTCAGTGAGGGATCTAGTCAAGGGGGTCTCAGCGAGGGGGTCTCAGCGAGGGGGCCCAGGTCACCTTCTGCTGCGTGGGCTTGTTGGGGATCTTGACGTAGGAGAAGCCCTCCCCGCAGCCCGTGGGGTCGGCAACCCCGGTGACGTCCAGCAGACACTTGCCCTTCATGGCCGCGATGAAGGCACGGGTCGTGTTCCACGGTGCCGTGCGTACCTGGGGGAGACACGGGGAGACACGGGGAGGTGTAGTGAGACACGGGGAGACACGGTGAGACACGGTGAGACACGGGGAGACACGGGGAGACACGGGGAGACACGGGGAGACACAGTGAGATACGGGGAGACACGGTGAGACACGGGGAGACACGGTGAGACACGGTGAGACACGGGGAGACACGGGGAGACACAGGGAGACACGGGGAGACACGGGGAGACACGGTGAGACACGGTGAGACACGGGGAGACACGGTGAGACACGGGGAGACAAGGGGAGACACGGTGAGGCACGGGGAGACAAGGGGAGACACGCGGAGACACGGGGAGACACGGGGAGACACGGGGAGACACGGGGAGGCACGGGGAGGCACGGTGAGACACGGGGAGACACGGTGAGGCACGGTGAGACACGGGGAGCCAGGGGGGGGGTCTCACCTCGTCATCAATCTTCATCTGGAACTCCTCCTCGTTCTCATCCTCGGGGGCGAACAGAGACTTCTCTCCGTAGCCAGCGTCCTGCACGCAGGGAGACACGCGGGGAGACACGCGGGGAGACAAGCGGGGAGACACGCGGGGAGACACGGGGAGACACGCGGGGAGACACGCGGGGAGACACGGGGAGACACGGGGAGACACGGGGAGACACGCGGGGAGACAAGCGGGGAGACACGCGGGGAGACACGGGGAGAGACGCGGGGAGACACGCGGGGAGGCACGCGGGGAGACACGGGGAGAGACACGGGGAGACACGCGGGGAGACACGGGGAGACACGCGGGGAGACACGGGGAGACACGCGGGGAGACAAGCGGGGAGACACGCGGGGAGACACGGGGAGAGACGCGGGGAGACACGGGGAGAGACGCGGGGAGACACGCGGGGAGGCACGCGGGGAGACACGGGGAGAGACACGGGGAGACACGCGGGGAGACACGGGGAGAGACACGGGGAGACACGGGGAGAGACACGCGGGGAGACACGCGGGGAGGCACGCGGGGAGACACGGGGAGAGACACGGGGAGACACGCGGGGGAGACACGGGGAGACACGCGGGGAGACAAGCGGGGAGACACGCGGGGAGACACGGGGAGAGACGCGGGGAGACACGGGGAGAGACGCGGGGAGACCGCGGGGAGGCACGCGGGGAGACACGGGGAGAGACACGGGGAGACACGCGGGGAGACACGCGGGGAGACACGGGGAGACACGGGGAGACACGCGGGGAGACCCGGGGGGAGACACGCGGGGAGACACGGGGAGACACGGGGAGACACGCGGGGAGACACGCGGGGAGACACGGGGAGACACGGGGAGACACGCGGGGAGGTACGGGGGAGACACGCGGGGAGACACGCGGGGAGACACGCGGGGAGACACGGGGAGACACGCGGGGAGACACGCGGGGAGACACGGGGAGACGCGGGAGACACGCGGGGAGACACGGGGAGACACGGGGAGACACGCGGGGAGACACGCGGGGAGACACGCGGGGAGACACGGGGAGACACGGGGAGACACGCGGGGAGACACGGGGAGACACAGGGAGAGACACGGGGAGACACGCGGGGAGACACGCGGGGAGACACGGGGAGAGACGCGGGGAGACACGGGGAGAGACGCGGGGAGACACGCGGGGAGGCACGCGGGGAGACACGGGGAGAGACACGGGGAGACACGCGGGGAGACACGGGGAGAGACACGGGGAGACACGGGGAGACACGGGGAGACACGCGGGGAGACACGCGGGGAGGTACAGGGAGACACGCGGGGAGACACGCGGGGAGACACGCGGGGAGACACGCGGGGAGACACGGGGAGACACGGGGAGGACACGCGGGGAGACACGCGGGGAGACACGGGGAGACACGGGGAGACACGGGGAGACACGCGGGGAGACACGCGGGGAGACACGGGGGAGAGACACGCGGGGACAAGCGGGGAGACGCGCGGGAGACACGCGCACACACACCACACGTGTATTTATTAATTAACCATCCCTACTTATCTCTGGGTCAACGACAACGTCAGCCCCTCCCCCTCCCCCCCCTCCCGCACCCCCCTCCCCCTCCCCCCCTCTCCCTCCTCCCCCTCCACCCCCGCGACCTTGAGGCGCTGCTCTGCGGCCAGCATGCTGTAGTAGGCGCAGCACTGCTCAGGGGACACCACGGCACGGATCTCCTCCTCCGTGGGAAGCCGGAACTCGTGCTTGATGACCCACCAGTTCGAGTCCAGGCCTGCACGCACACACACACAGACACACACACAGACACACACACAGACACACACACACATACACACACACAGACACACACAGACACACACACATAGACACACAGACACACACACACACAGACACACACACACACGCACACAGACACACACACACAGACACGCACACACACGCACACACACGCTCACACACGCACAGACACACACACACACGCACACACACGCACAGACACACAGACACACGCACATGCACACGTACACACACACGTGCACACACGCGCACACACACGCACACACACGCACAGACACACACGCACACGCACACAGACACACAGACACACACACACACGCACACACACGCACACACACACACACACGTACGGACACACGCACACACACACGCGCACACACGTACGCACACACACGCACACACATATGCACACGCACACACGTGCACACACACGCACACACACATGCACACGCACACACACGCACACACGCACGTGTATGCACACGCACACACACGCACACAGGGACGCATCCCCACACGGACACACAGATGGACACACGGACACACAGATGGACACACGGACAGATGGACACACGGACACACAGATGGACACACGGACAGATGGACACACGGACACACAGATGGACACACGGACACACAGATGGACACACGGACACACAGATGGACACACGGACAGATGGACACACAGATGGACACACGGACACACAGATGGACACACGGACACAGATGGACACACAGATGGACACACGGACACACAGATGGACACACGGACAGACGGACACACAGATGGACACACGGACAGATGGACACACGGACACACAGATGGACACACGGACACACAGATGGACACACGGACAGATGGACACACGGACACACAGATGGACACACGGACAGATGGACACACGGACACACAGATGGACACACGGACACACAGATGGACACACGGACACACAGATGGACACACGGACACACAGATGGACACACGGACACTCAGATGGACACACAGATGGACACACAGATGGACACACAGATGGACACACGGACACACGGACACACGGACAGATGGACACACGGACACACAGATGGACACACGGACAGACGAGTGGGTAGACACACAGACACACGCAAGCACAGGCAGACGGACGGCCGGACAGACCAGACACACAGATGGATGGACACACAGAGACATGGTCAGACACACAGAGACACGCAGTCAGATACACACAGAGACACACAGAGACACGGTCAGACACGCAGAGACACGGTCAGACACACAGAGACACGGTCAGACACGCAGAGACACGCAGAGACACGCAGAGACACAGTCAGACACACAGATGGATGGACACACAGAGACACGCAGTCAGACACGCAGAGACACGCAGTCAGACACACACAGAGACACACAGAGACACGGTCAGACACACAGAGACACACAGAGACACAGTCAGACACGGTGAGACACGCAGAGACACGGTAAGACACGCAGAGACACGCAGGGACACGCAGAAACACACAGTCAGACACGCAGAGACACAGAGACATGCAGAGACACGGTAAGACACACAGAGACACGCAGAGACACGCAGAGACACGCAGAGACACACAGTCAGACACGGTGAGACACGCAGAGACACGGTCAGACACGCAGAGACACGCAGAGACTCGGTCAGACACGCAGGGACACAGTCAGACACGCAGAGACACGCAGAGACACGGTCAGATACGCAGAGAAACGGTCAGACATGCAAAGACACGCAGACACGTGGTCAGACACACAGAGACACGCAGAGACACGGTCAGACACGCAAAGACACGGTCAGACACGGTCAGACACGCAGAGACACGCAGAGACACGGTCAGACACGTTCAGACACGCAGAGACACACAGAGACACGCAGAGACACGCAGAGACACGGTCAAACTCGCAGAGACACGCGGTCAGACACGTACAGACATGCAGAGACACGCAGGGACATGCAGAGACAAGCAGGGACACGGTCAGACATGCACAGACACACAGAGACACGCAGGGACACGGTCAGACATGCACAGACACACAGAGACACGCAGGGACACGGTCAGACATGCAAAGACATGGTCAGACACGCAGAGACACAGTCAGACACGGTCAGACACGCAGAGACACGGTCAGACACGCAGAGACACGGTCAGACACGGTCAGACACGCAGAGACACGGTCAGACACGTAGAGACACGGACAGACACGCAGAGACACACAGGGACACGGTCAGACACGCAGAGACACGGTCAGACACGCAGAGACACGGTCAGACATGCAGAGACACGGTCAGACACACAGGGACACAGTCAGACACGCAGAGACACGCAGAGACACGGTCAGACACACAGAGACACGCAGACACACAGAGACACGCAGAGACACGGTCAGACACACAGAGACACGCAGACACACAGAGACACGGTCAGACACACAGAGACACAGAGACACGCAGAGACACGCAGAGACACGCAGAGACACGCAGGGACACCGACGCACAGACACACAGAGACACACAGAGACACAGAGACACGCAGAGACACAGAGACACGAAGAGACACCGACGCACAGACACACAGAGACACACAGAGACACACAGAGACACAGAGACAAGCAGGTACACCGACGCACAGACACACAGAGACACACAGAGACACAGAGACACGCAGAGACACAGAGACACACAGAGACACGCAGAGACACCGACGCACAGACACACAGACACAAGGGTGAATAGACGTGCGGCCACAGACACAAAGGCAAAGGTCCCCCGCGTAGCCTTAAGGCTGCTGGGGGGCAAAGTGCTGTTAGTAGCGAGGGCGGGCGTGGAGCTGGCAACACACACACACGGCCCTGTGTGTGTGTGAGCTCCACACACACACACAGCCCCTGTGTGTGTGTGTGTGTGAGCTCCACACACACACACACAGCCCCTGTGTGTGTGTGTGTGAGCTCCACACACACAGCCCCTGTGTGTGTGTGTGTGAGCTTCACACACACACAGCCCCTGTGTGTGTGTGTGAGCTCCACACACACACACAGCCCCTGTGTGTGTGTGAGCTCCACACACACACACAGCCCCTGTGTGTGTGTGAGCTCCACACACACACACAGCCCCTGTGTGTGTGTGTGCGCCAGTGCCGGAGCCTTCGAAGGCGCTACTACTGCTGCTGCTACTGCTGCTATTGCTGCTATTGCTGCTGATGCTACTGCTGCTGCTACTGCTGCTATTGCTGCTATTGCTGCTGATGCTACTGCTGCTGCTACTGCTGCTATTGCTGCTATTGCTGCTGATGCTACTGCTGCTGCTACTGCTGCTATTGCTGCTATTGCTGCTGATGCTACTGCTGCTGATGTTACTGCTGCCACTGCTGCTGATGCTACTGCTGCTACTACTGCTGCTGCTACTGCTGCTATTGCTGCTACTACTGCTCATGGTACTGCTGCTGATGCTATTGCTGCTACTACTGCTGATGCTACTGCTGCCACTACTGCTGATGCTACTGCTGCTACTACAGCTGATGCTACTGCTGATGCTACTGCTGCTACTACAGCTGATGCTACTGCTGATGCTACTGCTGCTACTACTGCTGCTACTACTGCTGATGCTACTGCTGCTACTACTGCTGATGCTACTGCTGCTACTACTGCTGCTACTACTGCTGATGCTACTGCTGCTACTGTTGCTGATGCTACTGCTGATGCTACTGCTGCTGCTACTGCTGCTACTACTGCTGCTAACAGCTAACAGCACTTTCCCCCAAAAATCTGTGTTTTGTGAGCGTGGTGGTGATGGTGGAAGTGGTGGTGGTGGTAGTGATGGTGGTGGTAGTGATGGTGGTGGTAGTGATGGTGGACGTGGTGATGGTGGTGGTAGTGATGGTGGTGGTAGTGATGGTGGTGGTAGTGATGGTGGTGGTAGTGATGGTGGTGGTAGTGATGGTGGTGGTAGTGATGGTGGTGGTAGTGATGGTGGTGGTAGTGATGGTGGTGGTAGTGATGGTGGTGGTAGTGATGGTGGTGGTAGTGATGGTGGTGGTAGTGATGGTGGTGGTAGTGATGGTGGTGGTAGTGATGGTGGACGTGGTGATGGTGGTGGTAGTGATGGTGGTGGTAGTGATGGTGGTGGTAGTGATGGTGGTGGTAGTGATGGTGGTGGTAGTGATGGTGGTGGTAGTGATGGTGGACGTGGTGATGGTGGTGGTTGAGCATGGTGGTGGTGGTTGAGCGTGGTGGTGGTAGTGGTGGTGGTTAGTGGTAGTGGTGGTAGTGGTGGTGGTGGTAGTGGTGGTGGTAATGGTGCGAGTGGTGGTGGTAGTGGTGGTGGTGGAAGTGGTGGTTGGTAGTGGTAGTGGTGGTGGTAGTGGTGGTGGTAGTGGTGGTGGTAGTGGTGGTGGTAGTGGTGGTAGTGATGGTGGTAGTGGTAGTGGTGGTAGTGGTGGTGGTGGTAGTGGTGGTGGTGGTGGTAGTGGTGGTAGTAGTGGTGGTGGTGATGGTAGTGGTGGTGGTAGTGATGGTAGTGATGGTAGTGGTGGTGGTAGTGATGGTAGTGATGGTAGTGGTGGTAGTGGTGGTAGTGGTGGTGGTAGTGGTGGTAGTGGTGGTGGTAGTGGTGGTAGTGGTGGTGGTAGTGGTGGTGGTAGTGGGAGTGGTGGTGGTAGTGGTGGTAGTGGTGGTAGTGATGGTAGTGGTGGTGGTAGTGGTGGTGGTAGTGGGAGTGGTGGTGGTAGTGATGGTAGTGATGGTAGTGGTGGTAGTGGTGGTAGTGGTGGTGGTGGTAGTGGTGGTGGTGGTAGTAGTGATGGTAGTGGTGGTAGTGGTGGCGGTAGTGGTGGTGGTGGTAGTGGTGGCGGTAGTGGTAGTAGTGGTGGTGGTGGTAGTGGTGGTGGTAGTGGTGGTGGTAGTGGTGGTGGTAGTAGTGGTGGTAGTAGTGGTGGTAGTGGTGGTAGTGGTAGTAGTGGTGGTAGTAGTGGTGGTAGTGGTGGTGGTAATGGTGCTAGTGGTGGTGGTGATGGTAGTGGTGGTGGTGGAAGTGGTGGTTGGTAGTGGTAGTGGTGGTAGTAGTGGTGGTGGTGGTGGTAGTGGTGGTAGTGGTGGTGGTGGTAGTGGTAGTAGTGGTGGTGGTGGTAGTGGTGGTAGTGGTGGTGGTAGTGGTGGTAGTGGTAGTGATGGTGGTAGTGGTGGTGGTAGTGGTGGTAGTGGTAGTGGTGGTAGTGGTGGTGGTAGTGGTGGTGGTAGTGGTGGTAGTAGTGGTAGTGGTGGTGGTAGTGGTGGTGGTGGTAGTGGTGGTGGTGGTAGTGGTGGTGGTGGTAGTGTTGGTGGTAGTGGTGGTGGTGGTAGTGGTGGTGGTGGTGGTAGTGGTGGTAGTGGTGGTAGTAGTGGTGGTGGTAGTGGTGGTGGTAGTGGTGGTAGTGGTGGTGGTAGTGGTGGTGGTGGTAGTGGTGGTGGTGGTGGTGGTAGTGGTAGTGGTGGTGGTTAGTGGTAGTGGTGGTAGTGGTGGTGGTGGTAGTGGTGGTAGTGGTGGTGGTGGTAGTGGTGGTGGTGGTAGTGGTGGTAGTGGTGGTGGTAGTGGTGGTGGTGGTAGTGGTGGTGGTGGTAGTGGTAGTGGTGGTGGTTAGTGGTAGTGGTGGTGGTTAGTGGTAGTGGTGGTAGTGGTGGTGGTGGTAGTGGTGGTGGTGGTAGTGGTGGTAGTAGTGGTGGTGGTGGTGGTGGAGCCACTGCTGTGCTACCGGTACGTTTGAAGTCTGCGCAGAGTTTGAGGCGCTTGCGGATGGAGCTCTCCGAGTGTGAGGGGAACGCTTTCTTGATGTCCTCCATGCGGATTCGGCGCGGACGATCCTTGCTCTTCCAGAAGAGGCGGTAGATGAACACCTGCACCACCACCACCACCGTCACCACCACCACCACCGTCAACACCGCCACCACCACCGTCACCACCACCACCACCACTGTCACCACCACCACCGTCACCACCACCACCACCGTCACCACCACCACCACCACCGTCACCACCACCATCGTCACACGTCTCTCTCCCCGCGTCTCTCCCCCCCGTGTCTCTCCCTGCGTCTCTCCCCCCCGTGTCTCTCTCCCCGCGTCTCTCTCTCCCCGTGTCTCTCTCCCCGCGTCTCTCTCTCCCCGTGTCTCTCTCCCCCCGTGTCTCTCTCCCCCCGCGTCTCTTTCCCGTGTGTCTTCCCCCCCACGTCTCCCCGTGTCTCTCTCCCAGTGTCTCTCTCCCCGTGTCTCTCCCCCCATCTCTCTCCCCGTGTCTCTCTCCCCGTGTCTCTCTCCCCCCGTGTCTCTCTCCCCCCGCGTCTCTCTCCCCGTGTCTCTTCCCCCCTACGTCTCCCCGTGTCTCTCCCCCCGTGTCTCTCCCCCCATCTCTCTCCCCGTGTCTCTCTCTCCGCGTCTCCCCGTGTCTCCCCGTGTCTCTCTCCCCGTGTCTCTCTCCCCGTGTCACTCTCTCCCCGTGTCTCTCTCCCCCCGCGTCTCTCTCTCTCCGTGTGTCTTCCACCCCACGTCTCCCCGTGTCTCTCTCCCCGTGTCTCCCCGTGCCTCTCTCCCCACGTCTCTCTCCCCGTGTCTCTTCCCCCCCGTGTCTCCCCGTGCCTCTCTCTCCCCGTGTCTCTCCCCACTACCCCCCCCCACCACTCCCCCCCCCCCACGTGTCGTCGCCACTTCCCACACCTGCAGGAAGTCCCGGATGTGGATGTTCGCTCTCTTGCTGTTGGGGCCGGGCACCTCGAACAAGGGACAGTGTTGTCCCACGACGAAGATGTGGGACACCTCCCGCACGTGGTAGCCCTGGCGCGTGCGGATCACCAGGAAGTCGGTGGCCGCCATCGTGTGCGGGTAGATGGGGGCCCGGTACAAGTTGCTCTCAAACGCCTGGAGCGTACCACGTGGGAGGAGGGGTGGACTAGTCTCCATCTGTTCCATCTCGCTCGCCTTCCCCGACGCCGTGCGTGGACTAATCTCCATCTGTTCCATCTCGCTCGCCTTCCCCGACGCCGTGCGTGGACTAATCTCCATCTGTTCCATCTCGCTCCCTTCTACACCGTGTGTAGACTAATCTCCATCTGTTCCATCTCTCTCCCTTCTCTAACGCCGTGTGTGGACTAATCTCCATCTGTTCCATCTCTCTCCCTTCTACACCGTGTGTAGACTAATCTCCATCTGTTCCATCTCGCTCCCTTCTCTAACACCGTGTGTGGACTAATCTCCATCTGTTCCATCTCTCTCCCTTCTCCGACGCCGTGCGTGGACTAATCTCCATCTGTTCCATCTCGCTCCCTTCTACACCGTGTGTGGACTAATCTCCATCTGTTCCATCTCGCTCGCCTTCCACACCGTGTGTGGACTAATCTCCATCTGTTCCATCTCGCCCCCTTCTCTAACGCCGTGTGTGGACTAATCTCCATCAGTTCCATCTCGCTCCCTTCTACCCGTGTGTGGACTAATCTCCATCTGTTCCATCTCGCTCCCTTCTACACCGTGTGTGGACTAATCTCCATCTGTTCCATCTCACTCCCTTCTACCACATGTGTGGACTAATCTCCATCTGTTCCATCTCGCTCCCTTCTACCCGTGTGTGGACTAATCTCCATCTGTTCCATCTCACTCCCTTCTACCACATGTGTGGACTAATCTCCACCTGTTCCATCTCACTCACTTCTCTAACGCCGTGCGTGGACTAATCTCCATCTGTTCCATCTCACTCCCTTCTACACCGTGTGTGGACTAATCTCCATCTGTTCCATCTCACTCCCTTCTACCACATGTGTGGACTAATCTCCATCTGTTCCATCTCACTCCCTTCTACCACATGTGTGGACTAATCTCCATCTGTTCCATCTCACTCCCTTCTAACACCGTGTGTGGAGTAATCTCCATCTGTTCCATCTCGCTCCCTTCTCTGACGCCGTGTGTGGACTAATCTCCATCTGTTCCATCTCGCTCCCTTCTACCCCGTGTGTGGACTAATCTCCATCTGTTCCATCTCGCTCCCTTCTACCACGTGTGTGGACTAATCTCCATCTGTTCCATCTCACTCCCTTCTACCATGTGGGTGGACTAATCTCCATCTGTTCCATCTCGCTGCCTTCTACCCCGTGCGTGGACTAATCTCCATCTGTTCCATCTCGCTCGCCTTCCCCGACGCCGTGCGTGGACTAATCTCCATCTGTTCCATCTCGCTCGCCTTCCCCGACGCCGTGCGTGGACTAATCTCCATCTGTTCCATCTCGCTCCCTTCTACACCGTGTGTAGACTAATCTCCATCTGTTCCATCTCTCTCCCTTCTCTAACGCCGTGTGTGGACTAATCTCCATCTGTTCCATCTCTCTCCCTTCTACACCGTGTGTAGACTAATCTCCATCTGTTCCATCTCGCTCCCTTCTCTAACACCGTGTGTGGACTAATCTCCATCTGTTCCATCTCTCTCCCTTCTCCGACGCCGTGCGTGGACTAATCTCCATCTGTTCCATCTCGCTCCCTTCTACACCGTGTGTGGACTAATCTCCATCTGTTCCATCTCGCTCGCCTTCCACACCGTGTGTGGACTAATCTCCATCTGTTCCATCTCGCCCCCTTCTCTAACGCCGTGTGTGGACTAATCTCCATCAGTTCCATCTCGCTCCCTTCTACCCGTGTGTGGACTAATCTCCATCTGTTCCATCTCGCTCCCTTCTACACCGTGTGTGGACTAATCTCCATCTGTTCCATCTCGCTCCCTTCTACACCGTGTGTGGACTAATCTCCATCTGTTCCATCTCGCTCCCTTCTACCCGTGTGTGGACTAATCTCCATCTGTTCCATCTCACTCCCTTCTACCACATGTGTGGACTAATCTCCACCTGTTCCATCTCACTCACTTCTCTAACGCCGTGCGTGGACTAATCTCCATCTGTTCCATCTCACTCCCTTCTACACCGTGTGTGGACTAATCTCCATCTGTTCCATCTCACTCCCTTCTACCACATGTGTGGACTAATCTCCATCTGTTCCATCTCACTCCCTTCTACCACATGTGTGGACTAATCTCCATCTGTTCCATCTCACTCCCTTCTAACACCGTGTGTGGAGTAATCTCCATCTGTTCCATCTCGCTCCCTTCTCTGACGCCGTGTGTGGACTAATCTCCATCTGTTCCATCTCGCTCCCTTCTACCCCGTGTGTGGACTAATCTCCATCTGTTCCATCTCGCTCCCTTCTACCACGTGTGTGGACTAATCTCCATCTGTTCCATCTCACTCCCTTCTACCATGTGGGTGGACTAATCTCCATCTGTTCCATCTCGCTGCCTTCTACCCCGTGTGTGGACTAATCTCCATCTGTTCCATCTCGCTGCCTTCTCTAACACCGTGTGTGGACTAATCTCCATCTGTTCCATCTCACTCCCTTCTCTAACGCCGTGTGTGGAATAATCTCCATCTGTTCCATCTCGCTGCCTTCTACACCGTGTGTGGACTAATCTCCATCTGTTCCATCTCGCTGCCTTCTACACCATGTGTGGACTAATCTCCATCTGTTCCATCTCGCTCCCTTCTACACCGTGTGTGGACTAATCTCCATCTGTTCCATCTCACTCCCTTCTACCCCGTGTGTGGACTAATCTCCATCTGTTCCATCTCGCTCCCTTCTCTAACACCGTGTGTGGACTAATCTCCATCTGTTACATCTCACTCCCTTCTACCCCGTGTGGACTAATCTCCATCTGTTCCATCTCACTCCCTTCTACACCGTGTGTGGACTAATCTCCATCCGTTCCATCTCGCTCCCTTCTCTAACACCGTGTGTGGACTAATCTCCATCTGTTCCATCTCACTCCCTTCTACCACGTGGGTGGACTAATCTCCATCTGTTCCATCTTGCTCCCTTCTACACCGTGTGTGGACTAATCTCCATCTGTTCCATCTCACTCCCTTCTACACTGTGGACTAATCTCCATCTGTTCCATCTCGCTGCCTTCTACACCGTGTGTGGACTAATCTCCATCTGTTCCATCTCGCCCCCTTCTCTAACGCCGTGTGTGGACTAATCTCCATCCGTTCCATCTCGCTCCCTTCTCTAACACCGTGTGTGGACTAATCTCCATCTGTTCCATCTCACTCCCTTCTACCACGTGGGTGGACTAATCTCCATCTGTTCCATCTTGCTCCCTTCTACACCGTGTGTGGACTAATCTCCATCCGTTCCATCTCGCACCCTTCAACACTGTGTGTGGACTAATCTCCATCTGTTCCATCTCGCTCCCTTCTCTAACACCGTGTGTGGACTAATCTCCATCTGTTCCATCTCGCTCCCTTCCACCCCGTGTGTAGACTAATCTCCATCTGTTCCATCTCACTCTCTTCTACACCGTGTGTGGACTAATCTCCATCTGTTCCATCTCGCTGCCTTCTCCAACGCCATGTGTGGACTAATCTCCATCTGTTCCATCTCACTCCACCTTCTACCCCGTGCGTGGACTAATCTCCATCCATTCCATCTCTCTCCCTTCTCTAACACCGTGTGTGGACTAATCTCCATCTGTTACATCTCACTCCCTTCTACCCCGTGTGGACTAATCTCCATCTGTTCCATCTCACTCCCTTCTACACCGTGTGTGGACTAATCTCCATCTGTTCCATCTCACTCCCTTCTCTAACATCGTGTGTGGACTAATCTCCATCCGTTCCATCTCGCTCCCTTCTCTAACACCGTGTGTGGACTAATCTCCATCTGTTCCATCTCACTCCCTTCTACCACGTGGGTGGACTAATCTCCATCTGTTCCATCTTGCTCCCTTCTACACCGTGTGTGGACTAATCTCCATCCGTTCCATCTCGCACCCTTCAACACTGTGTATGGACTAATCTCCATCTGTTCCATCTCGCTCCCTTCTCTGACGCCGTGTGTGGACTAATCTCCATCTGTTCCATCTCGCTCCCTTCCACCCCGTGTGTAGACTAATCTCCATCTGTTCCATCTCACTCTCTTCTACACCGTGGGTGGACTAATCTCCATCTGTTCCATCTCGCTCCCTTCTCTAACGCCGTGTGTGGACTAATCTCCATCCGTTCCATCTCGCTCCCTTCAACACTGTGTGTGGACTAATCTCCATCTGTTCCATCTCGCTGCCTTCTCCAACGCCGTGTGTGGACTAATCTCCATCTGTTCCATCTCACTCCACCTTCTACCCCGTGCGTGGACTAATCTCCATCCATTCCATCTCTCTCCCTTCTCTAACACCGTGTGTGGACTAATCTCCATCCGTTCCATCTCGCTCCCTTCTACCCCGTGTGTGGACTAATCTCCATCTGTTCCATCTCTCTCCCTTCTCCGACGCCGTGCGTGGACTAATCTCCATCAGTTCCATCTCACTCCACCTTCCACCCCGTGTGTGGACTAATCTCCATCCGTTCCATCTCGCTCCCTTCTACACCGTGTGTGGACTAATCTCCATCTGTTCCATCTCGCTCCCTTCTACCCATGTGTGGACTAATCTCCATCTGTTCCATCTCACTCCCTTCTACACCGTGTGTGGACTAATCTCCATCTGTTCCATCTCGCTCCCTTCTACCCGTGTGTGGACTAATCTCCATCTGTTCCATCTCACTCCCTTCTAACACCGTGTGTGGACTAATCTCCATCTGTTCCATCTCGCTCCCTTCTCTAACACCGTGTGTGGACTAATCTCCATCTGTTCCATCTCGCTCCCTTCTACCCCGTGTGTGGACTAATCTCCATCTGTTCCATCTCACTCCTTCTAACACCGTGTGTGGACTAATCTCCATCTGTTCCATCTCTCTCCCTTCTCTGACGCCGTATGTGGACTAATCTCCATCTGTTCCATCTCACTCCCTTCTACACCGTGTGTGCACTAATCTCCATCTGTTCCATCTCGCTGCCTTCTCCAACGCCGTGTGTGGACTAATCTCCATCTGTTCCATCTCGCTGCCTTCTCCAACGCCGTGTGTGGACTAATCTCCATCTGTTCCATCTCGCTCCCTTCCACACCGTGTGTGGACTAATCTCCATCTGTTCCATCTCACTCCCTTCTACACCGTGTGTGGACTAATCTCCATCTGTTCCATCTCACTCCACCTTCCACCCCGTGCGTGGACTCATCTCCATCCGTTGCATCTCTCTCCCTTCTCTGACGCCGTGCGTGGACTAATCTCCATCTGTTCCATCTCACTCCCTTCTACCACGTGGGTGGACTAATCTCCATCTGTTCCATCTTGCTCCCTTCTACACCGTGTGTGGACTAGTCTCCATCCGTTCCATCTCTCTCCCTTCTCTGACGCCGTGTGTGGACTAATCTCCATCCGTTCCATCTCACTCCACCTTCCACCACCGTGCGTGGACTAATCTCCATCCGTTCCATCTCGCTCCCTCCCGTCCCCCTCCCCCGCCCGGCCCGCCCCCGTGGAGGCGTCCGAGGCCCACCTGCAGGCACTGCCCGGGATGCAGCGAGCCGAGGAAGGGCGACGAGTGAGCGTAGACCGTCTCTCCGTAGTCGCAGTCCGGCGCCCCCGTGTCCTTGCCGGGTTTCTGCTCCCACCGGGCGCACGCAGAGACAAAAGTTCCACCGCCCGCCCGCCCGCCCGCCCGCCCGCCCGTCCGCCCGCCCGGCATCGCGTGGCCTCAACGGAACCGTCGGGACAAAGTGCCGTTAGTGTGCCGCTAGTGTGCCGCTAGTGTGCCGTTAGTGTGCCGCTAGTGTGCCGCTAGTGTGCCGTTAGTGCGCCGCTAGTGTGCCGCTAGTGTGCCGCTAGTGTGCCGCTAGTGTGCCGCTAGTGCGCCGCTAGTGCGCCGCTAGTGCGCCGCTAGTGTGCCGCTAGTGTGTCGCTAGTGCGCCGCTAGTGTGCCGCTAGTGTGCCGTTAGTGTGCCGTTAGTGTGCCGCTAGTGTGCCGCTAGTGTGCCGCTAGTGTGCCGCTAGTGTGCCGCTAGTGCGCCGCTAGTGTGCCGCTAGTGCGCCGCTAGTGCGCCGTTAGTGTGCCGTTAGTGCGCCGTTAGTGTGCCGTTAGTGTGCCGTTAGTGCGCCGTTAGTGCGCCGCTAGTGCGCCGTTAGTGCGCCGCTAGTGCCCCGCTAGTGCGCCGTTAGTGTGCCGCTAGTGTGCCGCTAGTGCGCCGCTAGTGTGCCGTTAGTGCGCCGCTAGTGTGCCGCTAGTGTGCCGCTAGTGTGCCGCTAGTGTGCCGCTAGTGCGCCGCTAGTGCGCCGCTAGTGCGCCGCTAGTGTGCCGCTAGTGTGTCGCTAGTGAGCCGCTAGTGTGCCGCTAGTGTGCCGTTAGTGTGCCGTTAGTGTGCCGCTAGTGTGCCGCTAGTGTGCCGCTAGTGTGCCGCTAGTGTGCCGCTAGTGTGCCGCTAGTGTGCCGCTAGTGCGCCGCTAGTGCGCCGTTAGTGTGCCGTTAGTGCGCCGTTAGTGTGCCGTTAGTGCGCCGTTAGTGCGCCGTTAGTGCGCCGCTAGTGCGCCGTTAGTGCGCCGCTAGTGCGCCGCTAGTGTGCCGCTAGTGTGCCGCTAGTGCGCCGCTAGTGCGCCGCTAGTGCGCCGCTAGTGCGCCGCTAGTGCGCCGCTAGTGTGCCGCTAGTGTGCCGCTAGTGTGCCGCTAGTGTGCCGCTAGTGTGCCGCTAGTGTGCCGCTAGTGTGCCGCTAGTGTGCCGCTAGTGTGCCGCTAGTGTGCCGCTAGTGTGCCGCTAGTGTGCCGCTAGTGTGCCGCTAGTGTGCCGTTAGTGTGCCGCTAGTGTGCCGCTAGTGTGCCGTTAGTGTGCCGCTAGTGTGCCGTTAGTGTGCCGTTAGTGTGCCGTTAGTGTGCCGCTAGTGTGCCGTTAGTGTGCCGCTAGTGTGCCGTTAGTGTGCCGTTAGTGTGCCGCTAGTGTGCCGTTAGTGTGCCGCACGGCGGACGGGGCGTGGGTGGGTGGCCGGCCCCGCCACGCCACAGGTGACGCTCGCTTGAGGCCGAGTCGACCTAGGGGAGGGCACCGGGACCCGGTTCAGAACGCCGCCGCCGCCGCCGCCGCCGGTGTTGGCCGTGAGCGGGAATCGAACCTCGGGTCGCCGGTTTGGTAGCGCTGACCGCTGCACTACCGCTCCTCACGCACAGACATCCCGGTGGCTGGGAGATGTTGACTACCTCGCCTGATATACAGGAGGCCGTGGGTTCGATCTCCGACCCTGAGAGATGTTGACTACCTCGCCTGGTGCACAGGAGGCCGTGGGTTCAATCCCAGACCCTGACGATGACTGCTGCTGCTGCGTGTGGAGTCTGCATCTCTCTCATCATCATCATCACCACGGTGGCTAGGGGATGTTGACTACCTCGCCTGGTATACAGGAAGTCCTGGTCCAACTCTGACCCTGACGAAGCCTGCTGCTGCTGCTGTCTGTGTGGAGTCTGCGTCTCTCTCATCATCATCATCAGCACGGTGGCTAGGAGATGTTGACTACCTCGCCTGGTACACAGGAAGTCGTGGGTTCGATCCTAGACCCTGACGATGACTGCTGTTGTGTGTGTGGAGTCTGCGTCTCTCTCATCATCATCATCATGGTGGCTGGGAGATGTTGACTACCTCGCCTGGTATACAGGAGGTCGTGGGTCCGACTCTGACCCTGACGAAGCCTGCTGCTGCTGTCTGTGTGGAGTCTGCGTCTCTCTCTCTCTCTGTCTCTCTCTGTCTCTGTCTCTCTCCCCGTGGTGGTCACCGCGTGGATTTGTCTCCGGGTCCTCCGGCGGATTTTCCTTCCACATTTAGAATCCGCGTGCGGTTTGTCGCACGCGGATTCCCACGTGGTAGTGATGATGATGATGATGAAGTCAGCCCCTTGGTTTGATTGTGATGGCCAGAGTCACTTCTGAATAAGAGCTACGTAGCTGTAGACACGTGGGTGTGCATACGTGTGTGTGTGTGTGCAGAGGCGTGTGTGTGTGTGTGTAGAGCCGTGTGTGGTGGTAGTGGAGTGTGTGGTGGTGGTGTTGGAAGAGGCATATTAGTAGTAGTGGTGATGGTAGTGATGGCAGTGGTGGAAGTGGTGGTAGTGTTGGTGGTGGTAGTGGTGGTAGTGTTGGTAGTGGTAGTGGTGGTAGTGTTGGTGGTAGTGGTGGTAGTGGAGGTGGTGGTGGTGGTAGTGATGGTGGTGGTGGTGGAGGTGGTGGTGGTAGTGGTGGTGGTAGTGGTGGTGGTAGTGGAGGTGGTGGTAGTGGAGGTGGTGGTGGTAGTGGTATAGTGATGGTAGTGGTGGTTAGTGATGGTAGTGGTGGTGGTGGGGTAGTGGTGGTGGTAGTGATGGTGGTGGTAGTGGCGGTGGTAGTGGCGGTGGTAGTGGTGGTATAGTGGTAGTGGTGGTAGTGGTGGTGGTGGTGACGTACCCGCTTGTAGTAGTTCTTGATCTTGGTGGCCATGCCCACCTGTGCCAGCAAAGGGGGGTACTCCTCACTGTGCTCCGCCAGCACTAGGTCCCCGTCCTTGCCCGTCAGGTCCTGCGGGGTCCTCATGAAGAACATCTCCCCCCCGCCAGACGCCTGCCGCTCCTGCTCCCTCATCTATTAAACACACACACACACGTATACACGTGAATCCACAGACACACACGTATACACATGTATATATACACACACACACGCGCGTAAATATGCACACACACAGACACACGTATACACACACACACAGACACACACACATGTATATATACACACACACAGACAAAGACAAAGATCCCCCATATAGCCTTAACAGACTGTAGGGGCAAGTGCTGTTAGCGAGCACCTTTGAAGGCCGGAACGGTACACGAGGGGGTGGGTGGCCAGCACCACGCCCGACCGCCTTTGTCTCCCCAGTGGCGATGTTTACACACCGCACCAGGTACTCATTTGAGGCTGAGTCGAACTAGGGGAGTCCCAGGGCCGGTTCAGATAATCATCACTGGTGTTGGCCGTGAGCGGGAATCGAACCTGGGTCGCCAGGTTCATAGCGCAGCAAAGCGCTAACTGCTACACTATCGCTCCTCATCTATTACGCAAACAACAACCGCCATTCGCCACTAAGTGGCGGTGACGTCACCACGACGCTTGTGCCAGGCTATGTGCACCCTGAGGCCACGTGAAGTGTCGAATGCCCGCTGGCAGGAGGTCACGGGGCAGACCCAGGTGCCACGGGTCGACTGACTGAGATGACTGGCTGATGCACCACCTGTGCCCCCTACCTCCTTGCGGTGCAGGACAGGCAACTCTGTCGTGGACAGTGCTGTGGGGGGAGATCCAATTTTGATTGGCTTCTCCCCTCATGGCATATGTGTCCACCACAGGGGCTAAACGGGGGCTCTGGACGGGTGCGAGGGGCTGGTAACCCCTCCACCTTCAATTAATTACCACGAAACCACACACATAAACACACAGACACACACACACACAGACACACACAGACACACGCACAGACACACGCACAGACACACGCACAGACACACAGACACACGCACAGACACACGCACAGACACACACAGACACACACACACATACACACAGACATACACACAGACATACACAGACACACACACACAGACACACACAGACACACACACAGACACACACACACAGACACACACACACAAACAGACACACACACACACACAGACACACGTATACACACACACAGACACACACACACAGACAGACACACACAAACACACACACGTGTATACACACACACAGACACACACGTACACACACGTATACACACACGCACACAGACACACACGTACACACACACACGTATACACACACACACGTACACAGACACACACACAGACACAAACACAGTGACACACACACACACACACAAACACAGTGACACACACACACACGTACACACACACACAGACACACACACACACACACATACACACTCACACACACGTACACACACACACGCACACGTACACACGCACACGTACACACACACGCACTCACACCCTGTGTGTACACGAACCTTCGCCTTCTTGCGGATGTGCTTGAGCAGCGGGTGCACGGGGTGTGGGCCCGGCTGTGCCAGGGCGCCGTGGGAGTAGCGCTTGAGCGCCGGCCGGTGCAGAACTCGCAGCCGCATGGGCCCCATGTGGGTGGGGAAGAACGGCTGGCGAAGCTCCACCGCGGGGATCGAGTGCTGCTCCCTCGCACGCACGGGAGGGACGGGCCGGGGGGCGGTGGTGGCGCGGCGGTCAGGGCGAAGAGACGGATGTCGGGGGGGCGGAGGGAGACGCGGAGAGGGAGACGTGGGGGGAGACGCGGAGGGAGACAGAGAGGGAGACGCGGAGGGAGACAGAGATGGAGACAGAGAGGGAGACAGAGAGGGAGACACGGAGGGAGACAGAGAGGGAGACGCAGAGAGACACAGGGAGACACAGAGAGACAGAGGGAGACACGAAGGGAGACAGAGAGGGAGACATGGAGGGAGACAGGGAGGGAGACACGGAGGGAGACACGGAGGGAGACACGGAGGGAGACACGGAGGGAGACAGGGAGGGAGACAGGGAGGGAGACAGGGAGGGAGACAAAGAGGGAGACACGGAGGGAGACAGAGAGGGAGACAGAGAGGGAGACAGAGAGGGAGACAGAGAGGGAGACACGGAGGGAGACACGGAGGGAGACACAGAGGGAGACAGAGAGGGAGACACGGAGGGAGACACGGAGAGACACAGAGAGGGAGACACGGAGGGAGACAAAGAGGGAGACAGAGAGGGAGACACGGAGGGAGACACGGAGAGAGACAGAGAGGGAGACACGGAGGGAGACACGGAGGGAGACACAGAGGGAGACAGAGAGGGAGACAGAGAGGGAGACAGAGAGGGAGACAGAGAGGGAGACGCGGAGGGAGACAGAGAGGGACAGAGGGAGACACGAAGGGAGACAGAGAGGGAGACACGGAGGGAGACACAGAGGGAGACACGGAGGGAGACACGGAGGGAGACACGGAGAGAGACAGAGAGGGAGACACGGAGGGAGACAGAGAGGGAGACACGGAGGGAGACACAGAGGGAGACAGAGAGGGAGACAGAGAGGGAGACACGGAGGGAGACAGAGAGGGAGACGCGGAGGGAGACAGAGAGGGAGACACAGAGAGACAGAGGGAGACACGAAGGGAGACAGAGAGGGAGACACGGATGGAGACACGGAGGGAGACACAGAGGGAGACACGGAGGGAGACACAGAGGGAGACATGGAGGGAGACACGGAGGGAGACACAGAGGGAGACAGAGAGGGAGACACGGCGGGAGACACGGAGGGAGACAGAGAGGGAGACAGAGAGGGAGACAGAGAGGGAGACAGAGAGGGAGACAGAGAGGGAGACAGAGAGGGAGACAGAGAGGGAGACACGGAGGGAGACAGAGAGGGAGACAGAGTGGGAGACACGGAGAGACAGAGGGAGACACGAAGGGAGACAGAGAGGGAGACAGAGAGGGAGACACGGATGGAGACACGGAGGGAGACAGAGAGGGAGACAGAGAGGGAGACACGGAGGGAGACAGAGAGGGAGACAGGGAGGGAGACACGAAGAGAGACAGAGAGGGAGACAGAGAGGGAGACAGAGAGGGAGACACGGAGGGAGACAGAGAGGGAGACACAGAGGGAGACACGAAGGGAGACAGAGAGGGAGACACGGAGGGAGACAGAGAGAGAGACACGGAGGGAGACAGAGAGGGAGACACGGAGGGAGACAGAGAGGGAGACAGAGAGGGAGACACAGAGGGAGACACGAAGGGAGACAGAGAGGGAGACACGGAGGGAGACAGAGAGGGAGACACAGAGGGAGACACGAAGGGAGACAGAGAGGGAGACACGGAGGGAGACAGAGAGAGAGACACGGAGGGAGACACGGAGAGAGGCAGAGAGGGAGACACGGAGGGAGACACGGAGGGAGACAGAGGGAGACACAGAGGGAGACAGAGAGGGAGACACAGAGGGAGACACGGAGGGAGACAGAGAGGGAGACACGGAGAGAGGCAGAGAGGGAGACACGGAGGGAGACACGGAGGGAGACAGAGAGGGAGACACGGAGGGAGACACAGAGAGAGACACGGAGGGAGACACGGAGGGAGACACGGAGGGAGACAAAGAGGGAGACACAGAGGGAGACAGAGAGGGAGACACGGAGAGAGGCAGAGAGGGAGACACGGAGGGAGACACGGAGGGGCGACCACCACCTCCCCGCCCCCTCACCTGGATGATGTTGCCACCGAAGGTTCCGCGGACGCTCGTCTGCTTGGGGTGGTAGAACTCGTCGTTGGAGAGGTTCCAGGGATCCCGTGTCGAACCCTGGCTCAGCCGCTGGGGGGTCGGGAGGGGAGAGGGTGAGAGTCTCTGTGTGGTGAGTCTGTGGGTCTCTGTGTGCTGAGTCTGTGGGTCACTGTGTGGTGAGTCTGTGGGTCTCTGTGTGGTGAGTCTGTGGGTCTCTGTGTGGTGAGTATGTGGGTCTCTGTGTGGTGAGTCTGTGGGTCTCTGTGTGGTGAGTCTGTGGGTCTCTGTGTGGTGAGTCTGTGGGTCTCTGTGTGGTGAGTCTGTGGGTCTCTGTGTGGTGAGTCTGTGGGTCTCTGTGTGGTGAGTCTGTGGGTCTCTGTGTGGTGAGTCTGTGGGTCTCTGTATGGTGAGTCTGGGTCTCTGTGTGGTGAGTCTGTGGGTCTCTGTGTGGTGAGTCTGTGGGTCTCTGTGTGGTGAGTCTGTGGGTCTCTGTGTGGTGAGTCTGTGGGTCTCTGTGTGGTGAGTCTGTGGGTCTCTGTGTGGTGAGTCTGTGGGTCTCTGTGTGGTGAGTCTGTGGGTCTCTGTGTGGTGAGTGTATGGGTCTCTGTGTGGTGAGTCTGTGGGTCTCTGTGTGGTGAGTCTGTGGGTCTGTGTGTGGTGAGTCTGTGGGTCTCTGTGTGGTGAGTCTGTGGGTCTCTGTGTGGTGAGTCTGTGGGTCTCTGTGTGGTGAGTCTGTGGGTCTCTGTGTGGTGAGTGTATGGGTCTCTGTGTGGTGAGTCTGTGGGTCTCTGTGTGGTGAGTCTGTGGGTCTGTGTGTGGTGAGTCTGTGGGTCTCTGTGTGCTGAGTCTGTATGCAACTGAAACCCGGAGCGGTACCCTGGATCTCAGCGGCTCCGGCACCGCGACCTCTGACCTCTGAGCCGCACCCCCCACCGCAATCCACCCTCCACCACCCCCCACCACTCCCCACCACTCCCCACCACTCCTCACCATCCCTCACCACCCCCCCACCACTCCCTGTCATCACCTGCTGGGCATCATCCTTGGAGGTGCCGGCCTTGCCCAGGAGCAGTTTGCTGCGCCTGAGCGGAGGCTCTTTCTTGGACTCCTTGCTGGGGGAGCTGGGCGGAGTGTTCTCACTCTCCTCGGCCAGTTCTGGGGGGGCCACAGAGGTCACAGGTTAAGTGGACGGGGGGAGGGGCGGCACTGAAGGTAACGTGCAGGAAGGGGGAGGAGTCACTGAAGGTAACGTGGAGGAAGGGGGAGGAGTCACTGAAGGTAACGTGGAGGAAGGGGGAGGAGTCACTGAAGGTAACGTGCATGCAGGGGGAGGAGTCACTGAAGGTAACGTGCAGGAAGGGGGAGGAGTCACTGAAGGTAACGTGCAGGAAGGGGGAGGAGTCACTGAAGGTAACGTGCAGGAAGGGGGAGGAGTCACTGAAGGTAACGTGCAGGAAGGGGGAGGAGTCACTGAAGGTAACGTGCAGGAAGGGGGAGTCACTGAAGGTAACGTGCAGGGTGAGGGGTCACTGAAGGTAACGTGCAGGGTGAGGAGTCACTGAAGGTAACGTGCAGGCAGGGGGAGGAGTCACTGAAGGTAACGTGCAGGGTGAGGGGTCACTGAAGGTGACGTGCAGGGTGAGGAGTCACTGAAGGTAACGTGCAGGGTGAGGAGTCACTGAAGGTAACGTGCAGGCAGGAGGAGGAGTCACTGAAGGTGACGTGCAGGCAGGGTGACGTGCAGGCAGGGTAGGGGTGGGGTCACTGTCACGGACGCACCCAGCGTGATGTTCTCGTCGTTGGGGTCGAGGGTGAGCACGGGAGGCGAGGGAATGGACTCCATCATCTGGTCGTCCCAGATGATGGAGTCCTCCCAGCGGCCATACACCAGCTCCTCGTTGTCCACGGGGAAGATGGAGTACCACGTCTTGTGCTCCTCCTCTGGTGAGGTGAGAGGTCGCGAGGTGAGAGGTCACGGTGAGGGGTCACGGTGAGATAGGTCACGATGACAGAGGTCACAATGAGAGAGGTCACTGAGAGGTCACGGTGAGTGAGGTCACGGTGAGTGAGGTCACGGTGAGTGAGGTCACGGTGAGTGAGGTCACGGTGAGAGAGGTCACGGTGAGAGAGGTCACGGTGAGAGGTCACGGTGAGAGGTCACGATGAGAGAGGTCACGATGAGAGAGGTCACGATGAGAGGTCACGATGAGAGAGGTCACGATGAGAGAGGTCACAATGACAGGGGTCACAATGAGAGAGGTCACTGAGAGGTCACGGCAAGTGAGGTCACGGTAAGTGAGGTCACGGTGAGAGAGGTCACGGTGAGAGGTCACGATGAGAGGTCAGTGAGAGGTCATGGTGATGGGTCACGATGAGAAAGGTCATGGTGAGAGGTCACAGTGAGAGGTCACGGTGAGAGGTCACGGTGAGGGGTCGCTGGTGGTGGCGAGCTGTCAAACTAAAACTAAACTACAGTACAATAAATCCTTTGATTGTGAGCATAATTCATTCCGGAAACGTGTTTGTAATCCAAAGCACTCGCACGTCAAAGCACTCGTACATCGGTTGTGATCACGTGACGCTCGGCAGTACAAAGTGTCTGCACGTACTACTACTCGTATTGCCAAGGCCCTCCCTCGCTCGTTCCGTCAAATTTATACTTGTTACAAATTCTACCTCGACCCGCAAAACACTCGCAGGCCAAGTTACCCGCAACCCAAGGTTTCGCTGTGTAGCCCTATCTTACACCTCGGCCTTGAGTGCCGTCCTCCCGCAATTAAACCGCCTTCGGGTAACCGCGCCACGATACCAAGGTTCGAGAGCAGCTCAATCTTGATTGGAAGTTTCTGTGACTGCAGGAATCCATACTCCATGGGTATTTTTCGGTAAAGTCACATAGGTAAAAATGTTTTTTTTTAAACTCAAATTAAATCACGACGTGTCAGAGGCAACACAAACACGAGCTTCCTTGCTCCTGATGGAAACTCAAATTAAATCACGACGTTTCAGAGGCGACACAAACTTCATTTGCGCCTGATGGAAACAACTCAAATTAAATCACGACGTGTCAGAGGCAACGCAAGCTTCCTTGCGCCTGATGAAAACAACTCAAATTAAATCACGACGTGTCAGAAGTAACACAAACACAAGCTTCCTTGCTCCTGATGGAAACTCAAATTAAATCACGACGTGTCAGAGGTGACACAAGCTTCCTTGCGCCTGATGGAAACAACTCAAATTAAATCACGACGTGTCAGAGGTAACACAAACTCCCTTGCGCCTGATGGAAACAACTCAAATTAAATCACGACGTTTCAGAGGCGACACACGGGTAGAAGGGAGTGAGATGGAACAGATGGAGATTAGTCCACACACGGTGTAGAAGGGAGTGAGATGGAACAGATGGAGATTAGTCCACACACGGTGTAGAAGAGAGTGAGATGGAACAGATAGAGATTAGTCCACACACGGGTAGAAGAGAGTGAGATGGAACAGATGGAGATTAGTCCACACACGGGTAGAAGGGAGCGAGATGGAACAGATGGAGATTAGTCCACACACGGAGTAGAAGGGAGTGATATGGAACAGATGGAGATTAGTCCACACACGGGTATAAGGGAGTGAGATGGAACAGATGGAGATTAGTCCACACATGTGGTAGAAGGGAGTGAGATGGAACAGATGGAGCTTAGTCCACACACGGTGTAAAAGGGAGCGAGATGGAATAGATGGAGATTAGTCCACACACGGGTAGAAGGGCGTGAGATGGAACAGATGGAGATTAGTCCACACACGGTGCAGAAGAGAGTGAGATGGAACAGATGGAGATTAGTCCACACACGGTGTAGAAGGCAGCGAGATGGAACAGATGGAGATTAGTCCACACACGGTGTAGAAGGGAGTGATATGGAACAGATGGAGATTAGTCCACACACGGGGTAGAAGAGAGTGAGATGGAACAGATGGAGATTAGTCCACACACGGTGTAGAAGGCAGCGAGATGGAACCGATGGAGATTAGTCCACACACGGTGTAGAAGGCAGTGAGATGGAACAGATGGAGATTAGTCCACACACGGGGTAGAAGGGAGTGAGATGGAACCGATAGAGATTAGTCCACACACGGTGTTAGAAGGGAGTGAGATGTAACAGATGGAGATTAGTCCACACACGGGGTAGAAGAGAGTGAGATGGAACAGATGGAGATTAGTCCACACACGGGTAGAAGGGAGTGAGATGGAACAGATGGAGATTAGTCCACACACGGTGTAGAAGGGAGTGAGATGGAACAGATGGAGATTAGTCCACACACGGCGTTAGAGAAGGGGGCGAGATGGAACAGATGGAGATTAGTCCACACACGGTGTGGAAGGGAGTGAGATGGAACAGATGGAGATTAGTCCACACACGGCGTCAGAGAAGCAAGCGAGATGGAACAGATGGAGATTAGTCCACACACGGTGTAGAAGGGAGTGAGATGGAACAGATGGAGATTAGTCCACACGGTGTAGAAGGGAGCGAGATGGAACAGATGGAGATTAGTCCACGCACGGCGTCAGAGAAGGGAGTGAGATGGAACAGATGGAGATTAGTCCACCCCCGTCACCGTCACCGCGTGCCTCACCGGCGCCCTCTGCCGTGGGCTGCTGCTGCTGCTGCTGTCCCGGCTGCTTCTCCTTGCCCATCTTGCCGGCTCCCGAGGCGGTGGGGGGCCCCGGCTTTGGCGGCGTGGGGGGCACAGCGGAGCACGACAGCCAGCTGTTGCTCCGGTTGAGGCCTTGCAGTGGGGGGCCGAGCGGGGGGGGGGGGGGGGGGGCCGGGCGAGTGAGAGACGAGTGGTCAGGTGAGGTGTGTGTGGCGGTGTTTTTAGTTACTGGCCGGCCCACGGACTTGGAATCTTGTCTTGGATTAATAGACGGCCCGCACGGAGGGTTTGGTGGGAGGGGGGAGTGTGACGTCATCAGGCACGCTGCATGACGTCATCAGGCACGCTGCGTGACGTCACGAGGCACACTGCGTGACGTCATCAGGCACACCGCGTGACGTCATCAGGCACGCCGCGTGACGTCATCAGGCACGCCGCGTGACGTCATCAGGCACGCCGCGTGACGTCATCAGGCACGCCGCGTGACGTCATCAGGCACGCTGCGTGACGTCATCAGGCACGCTGCGTGACGTCATCAGGCACGCTGCGTGACGTCATCAGGCACGCTGCGTGACGCTGCCGCATGCGGGTGACATGACAGATGTGACGTCGCCGCTCACCCTGCTGAGCGTTGTAGGCCGACGGCGTTCCTCGTGAAGCTCGTGGGCAGCCAGCCCCTCCCTCACCCCCCACCCCACCCCCCACCCCCCACCTCACCCCCCACCTCACACCCCCCACCTCACCCCCCCACCTCACCCCCCCACCTCACCCCCCACCTCACCCCCCACCCACCACCCCACCCCCCAGGGCCTCACCCTGCTGAGCGTTGTAGGCCATGGCGTTCCTGGTGACGCTCGTGGGCAGCCATCCGGCGTGGCTGACGCGCTGTGACTTGGGCGCGCGGTGCCGGATGTCCTCGCCGTTCCACACGATGTCCTCCTCCCACGGCAGCTGCGCCACCATCAGAAAGTGCTCGTCGGTTGGGAAGGGGACCTCGGCGAGGAGGGCCGCCGCCCTCTTCTTGGCCGCCGTCGCTCCCCGCTCGTCGCCGCCGCCGGCCGTCGGCCCCGCCGGGGGGCGGCCTCGTCGGCTCTCGCGGCCGCCTCGGCGGGCGAGCAGGTGGACGACGAGGAGGAGGAGGAGGAGGACGAGGAGGAGGAGGACGAGGACGACGAGGAGGAGGACGACGACGAGGCCGTCGCCGCTGGGAGGGGGGCGGCTGTTGCCGGGGCGGCGGCCGACGGAGCGACGCCGACTCCCGGCTCTTCGGCGGCGACGTCGGCGACGTCATCGTCGTCGTCGTCTTCGTCGTCGTCGTCGGCACGGCCCGTGAGGTGCCTGACGGCCTCGCGAACGCGGGGGTCCGGCTCCGGCAGCGCTGCCTCAGCGGCGGCGGCGGCGGCGGCGGCGGCGGCGCTGTCGGAGGAGGCGGCGGCGGCCGAGCAGCCTCCTGGCAACGCTGGGGGGGGAGACGGACGGTTTGAGTGAGACACAACAACAACAACAACAACCATCACAACCACCCACCACTCATACACAACAACCACCACCACCACCACCACCCGCAACTCATACTCACAACAACAACAACAACCACCCACCACTCATACACAACAACAACCACCACCACCCACCACTCATACACAACAACCACCACCACCACCACCCGCAACTCATACTCACAACAACAACCACCACCACCCGCAACTCATACTCACAACAACAACAACCACCATCACCACCATCCGCCACTCGTACACAACAACAACAACAACCACCATCTAGCACTCATACTCACAACAACAACAACCATCATCACCACCACCACCCGCCACTCATACACAACAACAACCACCACCACCACCCGCCACTCATACTCACAACAACAACCACCACCACCACTCATACTCACAACAACAACCATCATCACCCGCCACTCATACTCACAACACCAACAACAACCACCACCACCCGCAACTCATACTCACAACAACAACAACCACCACCACCCGCAACTCATACTCACAACAACAACAACCACCACCACCCACCACTCATACTCACAACAACAACCACCACCACCACCATCTGCCACTCATACAACAACAACAACCACCACCACCCGCCACTCATACTCACAACAACAACCACCATCACCACCATCCGCCACACATACTCACAACAACAACAACCACCACCACCACTCAGACTCACAACAACAACAACCACCACCACCCGCCACTCATACTCACAACAACAACCACCATCACCACCATCTGCCACTCATACTCACAACAACAACCACCACCACCATCCGCCACTCATACTCACAACAACAACCACCACCACTCATACTCACAACAACAACAACCACCACCACCCGCCACTCATACTCACAACAACAACCACCACCACCATCCACCACTCATACTCACAACACCAACAACAACCACCACCACCATCCGCCACTCATACTCACAACAACAACAACCGCCATTGGCCACCGGCGCTTGTGCCAGGCCAGGTGCACGTTGAGGCCACGTGAAGTGTCGAACGCCCGCTGGCAGGAGGTCATGGGGCAGACCCGGCAGGTGCCACGGGTCAACTGACTGAGATGACTGAGACGACTGGCTGATGCACCACCTGTGCCCCCTACTGTGACAACCTGCTGTGCTTTAGCCGCCCGGCTTACACGGACACACTACAACGGCAAACAACAACCGCCATTCGCCACCAAGTGGCTGCTACGTCACCACGGCGCTTTTTGCCAGGTTAAGTGCACATTAAGGTCACGTCAAGTGGCTACAAAGTCCCGTGACCTCCGCTAGCAGGAGGTCACGGGACAGACCCCAGGTGAATGAGTTAACCAGCCGATGCCCCAGGGCATGGCCGTGGCCGAGAAGACCTGAACCTTAGTGCGGAGCGACAGACCAGGTAGCTTCCACACAGCGTTACGCAACCGATGAAAAGATATTGCCGCTCGACTGATTCGGAGTGAGACCTCTTCTGTTAAACTGGAGTCGGTCATAGGCACACTGCCCAGGTATTGGAAACTCTCCACTCTCTCCACAACTGCCCCATCACCGATTAGGAGTTGTGGGGGTGAAGTGACCGATGGTACAAAATACTCAGGCAGATGCTTAGTTTTGGTGGGGCTGATGGTAAGGCCCCACCTCTTAGTGGCACGCTCCAGTCTCAGCAGTAGCGTCTCCAACTCCTCCTCTGAATGAGCAGCTATTACCAAATCGTCGACATACATAACGTGGTTGAGCAATAGGGAGCCATCCCTTGACCACACCCGGGCATCGATCAGCCTCCCATTATATCTGTACCAAATGGAGATTCCCCCGGTACAGCTATTGAAGGCTTCACGAACTACGTGGTCAAAATAGATGTTAAATAATGTGGGAGCCAAAGGACATCCCTGTCGCACCCCAAGGTGAACAGGGAATGGCTCTGACTCCTGGCCACATAGTTTTACCCGGGCCCGCTCACCATCATGAAGGTCCTTAATGATCGTGAGCAGAGGATCAGGTACTCCAAAAGCACGAAGAACAACCCAGAGCCCAGGCCTACTGATGGCATCATAGGCCTTGACCAGGTCAATAAAGCAGAGATGTAGGTCTTGTTGGAATTCCCTACAGACAGAAAATATGGCATCTGTGCAGGACCGCCCTTTCCTGAAACCGCATTGGGGCTCCGCAAGCCTCTCCTCAGCGTGCCTGGCAAGGCGATGTTGAATAATCCTTGCCAGGACCTTTCCCGGCACACTGAGGATTGAGATGCCCCTGTAGTTGTTACAGTCTGTGCGGGGTCCCCCTTCTTAAAGAGAGGGACCACCAGGGCATCCTTCCAATCCTGCGGAACCCGTCCAGTGGTCCAGACTGTTATTATGATCATGTAGGGCAGTCTGTGCACAAACGCAACCCTCCCTCAGCATTTCGCTTGGGAGATCATCTCTGCCCGGTGCCTTTCCTGGTCTCAGACTCCGGATTGCCGGAGTCCAATGTTTGAGGCACCGCAGCCTGCTTGGGTTATCCCCACTTTGCCGCATGATGTTTTCCAGGCTGAGGGATTATTCCCTACCCCAAGACCTCAGAAATGCTCAGCAAATCTGCAAACCTGTTCCAGGGGGTCGGAGGACGGGGGCACGATGCCAACCCCAGCCGCAAGTGATGGTGAAATTCTCGCTGGCAACTTTCATCAGCTAGCTGAGACCAGGCCACTATGGGTTTGAATGGGGTCCTGGGTGTACACCCACCACCGGAGTGGAAGAATGGCAGGCGCATCTTACAGATGACAAGTCGATGGTCAGAGGGCAGATCAGCTCCACGGTAGGTCCTGGTGTCAAGGACATGGGCTCGCATCCGCTGGTCCGTCACTTTGTAGTCCAGCAGATGTTCTTGCTTGGACCCAGCATGCATCCATGATGTTGTGTGGATGCGCTGACACCGGAACAGCATGTTGGTAATTACAAGCCCATGGGCTGCACCGAAGTCTAGCAGCCTCCTACCGTTGTTATTGAGCTGATCTGGCCCATTGCCTTCCAATCACTCCAGACCAGGTGCCAGCATCATGACCAACTCGGGCATTGAAGTCACCCAACATGATGACTCTATCCCGAGGAGCCACTTTAGCAGCACCTGTGACAGGTCATAGAAGGCATCTGACTCATCGGTCTTGCCTGCATCTCTCCACGGATGTTCGTCTTCGGTGGGGGCATAAGTAACCACGACCACCACTCCTCGCCTCCGGTTGATGCAAAGACGAGCCCAAAGTAGCCTGGGGCTTACAGCTTCCCACACCTCACCGCCATGCTCCCACGCCCCCTTCATTGTTTTGTTCAGAAGAAGAGCCACTCCCTGTTGTTTGGCAGTCTCCTGCCCCGAGTAGAAGACTGTCCACCCCTCATGGTGGCAGGAGCCAGAGCCGGTCCACCGGACCTCCTGAATACCACAGAGATCCAGGCGGTACCGGTCCAGCTCCCGACAGAGGAGTGGCAGCCTCTCCTCCGCAGTGAGCGTTCCACATGGTCACTCGCAGTGGCTTTTTGCCGTTTCTGGAGGAACCCCGAGGGTAGAGATTCAGTCTCCTGACTCCGCCAAATGGGGTTTGGCCAGGAGACGTCATAGACGCCTGTCCCCCCCGGGCCTCCGGCACAAGTCTTAGTTGGATATTTTTCTCCACGTAGGTTGGAGGTGGAGGGGTTACCAGCCCCCCGCACCCATCCAGAACCCCCTTCGGCAGTTGTGGTGGCTACAAACGCTATGAGGGGGAATGGCAAATCTCAATTGGCCCTCCCCCAGTGGCACCGCTCACCACAGCGTTACCGCCCGGCACCAGCGAGGAGGTAGGGGGTTGTTATGCAGACACTACAAGACAAAGACTCCCCGTATAGCCTGAGCAGACTGTAGGGGCAAGTGCTGTTAGCGAGCACCTATGAAGGCCGGAACGGTACACGAGGGGGTGGGTGGCCAGCACCACGCCCGACCGCCTTTGTCTCCCTAGTGGCAATGTTTACACACCGCACCAGGTACTAATCTGAGGCCGAGTCAACCTAGGGGAGGCCCGGGACCGGTCCAGATCATCGTCACTGGTGTTGGCCGTGAGCGAGAATCGAACTCGTGTCGCCGCTCCCCACACACAGACACACACACACAGACACACACAGTGACACACGGACACACACAGTGACACACACACAGACACACACAGTGACAAACACACAGACACACACAGTGACACACAGACACACACAGTGACACACAGACACACACAGTGACACACACACACAGACACACACAGTGACACACGGACACACACAGACACACACAGTGACACACAGACACACACAGTGACACACACACACACAGACACACACAGTGACACTCACACACAGACACACACAGTGACACACACACACAGACACACACAGTGACACACACACAGACACACACAGTAACACACAGACACACACAGTGACACACACACAGACACACACAGTGACACACACACACAGACACACACAGTGACACACACACAGACACACACAGTGACACACACACAGACACACACAGGCATCCCGGCGGCTGGGAGATGTTGACTACCTCGCCCGGTACACAGGAGGTCGTGGGTTCGCGCTTAACCGCGACACCACCGCTCGCCGTACCACAACACACACCACCTATCACACGAGGCGGACGCTGCGAGGCGGAGACGGTCACCTTGGTCACCGCCGGCGGCGGCGGCGGCGGCGGCGGCGCCACCGGCGCCCCCAGCGGCCGAGGGGCCGTGCGCCCGCAGGCGGAAGCCGTAGTCGAAGCCCAGGCCGTGGGGCGGCACGCCGAGCATGTCGTACCAGAGGCTCGCCGGGCCGTAGCGCCAAGCGGCCACGCGGGGCTCGCTCTGGGGCCCGCCGGGGCCTCGCGAGCCCAGCGACGAGCCCCCTCCCTCCACGGGGGCGATCATCGTCATCTGCACGGGCGTTGGGGGGAGGCGGGGGCAGGGGGCGGTGGACGCGGGAGAGACGCAGGTGGAGACACGTGGGGACAGGGAGACGCGGGCGGAGACGCGGGCGGAGACGCGGGTGGAGACACGGGTGGAGACACGGGTGGAGACACAGGTGGAGACACAGGTGGAGAGAGACGTGGAGAGAGAGGTGTGGAGACACAGGTGGAGACGCAGGTGGAGACACAGGTGGAGACACAGGTGGAGCGAGACGTGTGAAGACACGTGGAGAGAGACGTGGAGAGAGACGTGTGGAGACACAGGTGGAGACACAGGTGGAGACACAGGTGGAGACACAGGTGGAGACACGGGTGGAGACACAGGTGGAGACACAGGTGGAGAGAGACGTGGAGAGAGAGGTGTGGAGACACAGGTGGAGACGCAGGTGGAGACACAGGTGGAGACACAGGTGGAGCGAGACGTGTGAAGACACGTGGAGAGAGACGTGGAGAGAGACGTGTGGAGACACAGGTGGAGACACAGGTGGAGACACAGGTGGAGACACAGGTGGAGACAAACGTGGAGAGAGACGTGTGGAGACACGGGTGGAGACACAGGTGGAGACACAGGTGGAGACGCAGGTGGAGACACAAGTGGAGAGAGACGTGTGGAGACACGGGTGGAGACACAGGTGGAGACACGGGTGGAGACACGGGTGGAGACAGGTGGAGACACAGGTGGAGACACAGGTGGAGAGAGACGTGGAGAGAGACGTGTGGAGACACAGGTGGAGACACAGGTGGAGACACAGGTGGAGACACGGGTGGAGACACGGGTGGAGACACAGGTGGAGACACGGGTGGAGACACAGGTGGAGACACAGGTGGAGACACAGGTGGAGAGAGACGTGGAGAGAGACGTGTGGAGACACAGGTGGAGACACGTGTGGAGACACAGGTGGAGACACAGGTGGAGACACAGGTGGAGACACAGGTGGAGACACAGGTGGAGACGCAGGTGGAGACGCAGGTGGAGACACAGGTGGAGACACGGGTGGAGACACAGGTGGAGACACAGGTGGAGACACAGGTGGAGACAGACGTGGAGAGAGACGTGTGAAGACACAGGTGGAGACACAGGTGGAGACACGGGTGGAGACACAGGTGGAGACACAGGTGGAGAGAGACGTGGAGAGAGACGTGTGGAGACACAGGTGGAGACACGTGTGGAGACACAGGTGGAGACACAGGTGGAGACACAGGTGGAGACACAGGTGGAGACACAGGTGGAGACGCAGGTGGAGACACAGGTGGAGACACAGGTGGAGACGCAGGTGGAGACACAGGTGGAGACACAGGTGGAGACACAGGTGGAGACAGACGTGGAGAGAGACGTGTGAAGACACAGGTGGAGACACAGGTGGAGACACGGGTGGAGACACAGGTGGAGACACAGGTGGAGAGAGACGTGGAGAGAGACGTGTGGAGACGCAGGTGGAGACGCAGGTGGAGACACAGGTGGAGACACAGGTGGAGACACGGGTGGAGACACGGGTGGAGACACAGGTGGAGACACAAGTGGAGACACAGGTGAAGACACAGGTGGAGACACAGGTGGAGACACAGGTGGAGACGCAGGTGGAGACGCAGGTGGAGACACAGGTGGAGACACAGGTGGAGACACAGGTGGAGACACAGGTGGAGACAGACGTGGAGAGAGACGTGTGAAGACACAGGTGGAGACACAGGTGGAGACACAGGTGGAGACGCAGGTGGAGACACAAGTGGAGAGAGACGTGGAGAGAGACGTGTGGAGACACAGGTGGAGACACAGGTGGAGACACAGGTGGAGACACAGGTGGAGAGAGACGTGGAGAGAGACGTGGAGAGAGACGTGTGAAGAGAGAGGCAGAGGGAGACACGCGGCGGGGGGTGGATAGGGGGCCGTGCGTGCACCTCGTCGTCCGACAGGCACTGCTCCGCACTGGCGGGCGCGGGGTTCTGGTAGAAGGCCCAGCCGGACTTCCCCTCCTCCTCCTCCTCGCCCGCCCCGGCCCCCCCCGCGTCGTCCGCCGCGCCCCCCTGCTGCTGCCCCTGCTGCTGCCCCTGCTGCCCCTGCTGCTGCTGCTGCTGCTGCGGCTGCGGTGGCGCCGGCTGCTGCTGGTGGCGCCTCTTGCGCTTGCGACGGGCGCTGCGCCACACCGACGGGATGTTGCGCCCGGGGCCGAAGAGGCGCAGGAAACGCAGCACCTGGGGGGGGGGGGGGGGGGGGGGGGGGAGGGGGCAGACGAGGGGGAGACACGGAGGAGGAGAGACACGGAGGAGGAGGAGGAGACACGGAGGAGGAGGAGGAGGAGGAGGAGGAGGAGACGTGGGGGAGACACGGAGGAGGAGAGACACGGAGGAGGAGGAGACGTGGGGGAGACACGGAGAAGGAGAGACACGGAGGAGGAGGAGGAGGAGGAGACACGGAGGAGACACGGAGGAGGAGGAGGAGACACGGAGGAGGGGAGACACGGAGGAGGAGGAGACACGGAGGAAGAGGAGGAGGAGGAGACACGGAGGAGGGGAGACGGAGTAATGACTGAATTGTAGCACAGTGCTGCGCTAACCACTCCACTACCACATTTCATGCAACCACCACCACCGCCACCTCCACCACCGGCACCTCCACCACCGTGACCACAACCGCCACCTTCACCACAGCAACGAACATTACCACCACAGCCACCACCTCCACCACCACCGCCACTGACACCGCCACCACCACAGCCACCACCAGCACCCACCACCACCACCACAGCCACCACAGCCACCAGCACCCACCACCACCAGCACCCACCACCGCCACGACCACAGCCACCACCAGCACCCACCACCACTACCACAGCCACCACAGCCACCACAGCCACCACCAGCACCCACCACCAGCACCCACCACCACCAGCACCCACCACCGCCACCCTCCGTCACCTTTCCCGGGCGAAATTCTGGGAAGAGCTCGGTGACGCTGGGCATGTTCCTCGAGTCGTCCTTCCGGACGAGGCCGGCCAGCGGGAGGGTGAGCGCCTTGTCCTCCCCCGACGACGACGAAGAGGAGATCCCGTCGGCTCCACCAGCGCCGGTGCCGCCACCGCCGGTGCCGCCGCCGCCGCCGGCGCCGCCGCCGGCCGTCTCGGCTCCTTCCGAGCCGGACGCGGAGTCGGTGTCAAGGTCGGAGGAGGAGGAGGAGGAGGAGGAGGAGGCGGTGGCGGGGCGGGCGATGATGGACGGCAGGATGAGGCCCCCGGGAACGCCGCCAGAGGAGGAGGCCGAAGCCGACTCGTCGGACGAGGCGGCGGCGCCGCCGGCGTCGTCCGCCGCTGCCGGTACAAAGGTCGGGGTGAGGAGGTGGACGAGGTGGGGGGGGGGGGGGAGGAAGTGGGGGTTAGGGGTGGTGACAGTGATAGGGGGTAGTGACGGGGGTAGTGATGGGAGTAGTGATAGGGATAGTAATAGGGGTGGTGAAAGTGATAGGGGTAGTGATAGGGGTAGTGATAGTGATAGGGGGTAGTGATAGTGATAGGGGGTAGTGATAGTGATAGGGGGTAGTGATAGTGATAAGGGGCAGTGATAGTGATAGGGGGTAGTGATGGGGGTAGTGATAGTGATAGGGGGTAGTGATAGTGATAGGGGGTAGTGATAGTGATAGGGGGTAGTGATAGTGATAGGGGTACTGATAGTGATAGGGGGTAGTGATGGGGGTAGTGATAGTGATAGGGGGTAGTGATAGTGATAGGGGGTAGTGATAGTGATAGGGGGTACTGATAGTGATAGGGGGTAGTGATGGGGGTAGTGATAGTGATAGGGGGTAGTGATAGTGATAGGGGGTAGTGATAGTGATAAGGGGCAGTGATAGTGATAGGGGGTAGTGATGGGGGTAGTGATAGTGATAGGGGGTAGTGATAGTGATAGGGGGTAGTGATAGTGATAGGGGGTAGTGATAGTGATAGGGGTACTGATAGTGATAGGGGGTAGTGATGGGGGTAGTGATAGTGATAGGGGGTAGTGATAGTGATAGGGGGTAGTGATAGTGATAGGGGGTACTGATAGTGATAGGGGGTAGTGATAGTGATAGGGGGTAGTGATAGTGATAGGGGGTAGTGATAGTGATAGGGGGTACTGATAGTGATAGGGGGTAGTGATAGTGATAGGGGGTAGTGATAGTGATAGGGGTAGTGAGAGTGATAGGGGGTAGTGATAGGGGGTAGTGATAGTGATAGGGGGTAGTGATAGTGATAGGGGGTAGTGATAGTGATAGGGGGTACTGATAGTGATAGGGGGTAGTGATAGTGATAGGGGGTAGTGATAGTGATAGGGGGTAGTGATAGTGATAGGGGGTAGTGATAGTGATAGGGGGTACTGATAGTGATAGGGGGTAGTGATGGGGGTAGTGATAGTGATAGGGGGTAGTGATAGTGATAGGGGGTAGTGATAGTGATAGGGGGCAGTGATAGTGATAGGGGGTAGTGATGGGGGTAGTGATAGTGATAGGGGGTAGTGATAGTGATAGGGGGTAGTGATAGTGATAGGGGGTAGTGATAGTGATAGGGGTACTGATAGTGATAGGGGGTAGTGATGGGGGTAGTGATAGTGATAGGGGGTAGTGATAGTGATAGGGGGTAGTGATAGTGATAGGGGGTACTGATAGTGATAGGGGGTAGTGATAGTGATAGGGGGTAGTGATAGTGATAGGGGGTAGTGATAGTGATAGGGGGTAGTGATAGTGATAGGGGGTAGTGATAGTGATAGGGGGTAGTGATGGGGGTAGTGATAGTGATAGGGGGTAGTGATAGTGATAGGGGGTAGTGATAGTGATAGGGGGTAGTGATGGGGGTAGTGATAGTGATAGGGGGTAGTGATAGTGATAGGGGGTAGTGATAGTGATAGGGGGTAGTGATAGTGATAGGGGTACTGATAGTGAGAGGGGGTAGTGATGGGGGTAGTGATAGTGATAGGGGGTAGTGATAGTGATAGGGGGTAGTGATAGTGATAGGGGGTACTGATAGTGATAGGGGGTAGTGATAGTGATAGGGGGTAGTGATAGTGATAGGGGGTAGTGATAGTGATAGGGGGTACTGATAGTGATAGGGGGTAGTGATAGTGATAGGGGGTAGTGATAGTGATAGGGGTAGTGAGAGTGATAGGGGGTAGTGATAGGGGGTAGTGATAGTGATAGGGGGTAGTGATAGTGATAGGGGGTAGTGATAGTGATAGGGGGTACTGATAGTGATAGGGGGTAGTGATAGTGATAGGGGGTAGTGATAGTGATAGGGGGTAGTGATAGTGATAGGGGGTAGTGATAGTGATAGGGGGTACTGATAGTGATAGGGGGTAGTGATGGGGGTAGTGATAGTGATAGGGGGTAGTGATAGTGATAGGGGGCAGTGATAGTGATAGGGGGTAGTGATGGGGGTAGTGATAGTGATAGGGGGTAGTGATAGTGATAGGGGGTAGTGATAGTGATAGGGGGTAGTGATAGTGATAGGGGTACTGATAGTGATAGGGGGTAGTGATGGGGGTAGTGATAGTGATAGGGGGTAGTGATAGTGATAGGGGGTAGTGATAGTGATAGGGGGTAGTGATAGTGATAGGGGGTAGTGATAGTGATAGGGGGTAGTGATAGTGATAGGGGGTAGTGATAGTGATAGGGGGTAGTGATAGTGATAGGGGGTACTGATAGTGATAGGGGGTAGTGATGGGGGTAGTGATAGTGATAGGGGGTAGTGATAGTGATAGGGGGTAGTGATAGTGATAGGGGGTAGTGATGGGGGTAGTGATAGTGATAGGGGGTAGTGATAGTGATAGGGGGTAGTGATAGTGATAGGGGGTAGTGATAGTGATAGGGGTACTGATAGTGATAGGGGGTAGTGATGGGGGTAGTGATAGTGATAGGGGGTAGTGATAGTGATAGGGGGTAGTGATAGTGATAGGGGTAGTGGTAGTGATAGGGGGTACTGATAGGGGTAGTGATAGGGGGTAGTGATAGTGATGGGGGGTAGTGATAGGGGTAGTGATAGTGATAGGGGGTAGTGATAGTGATAGGGGTAGTGGTAGTGATAGGGGGTACTGATAGGGGTAGTGATAGTGGTAGTGATAGTGATAGGGGTAGTGATAGGGGTAGTGATAGTGATAGGGGTAGTGATAGTGATAGGGTGTAGTGATAGGGGGTAGTGATAGTGATAGGGGGTAGTGATAGTGATAGGGGGTAGTGATAGTGATAGGGGGTAGTGATAGTCATAGGGGGTAGTGATAGGGGGTAGTGATAGTGATAGGGGGTAGTGATAGGGGTAGTGATAGTGATAGGGGGTAGTGATAGTGATAGGGAGTAGTGATAGTGATAGGGGGTAGTGATAGTGATAGGGGGTAGTGATAGGGGTAGTGATAGTGATAGGGGTAGTGATAGTGATAGGGGGTAGTGATAGTGATATGGGGTAGTGATAGTGATAGGGGGTAGTGATAGTGATAGGGGGTAGTGATAGTGATAGGGGGTAGTGATAGTGATAGGGGGTAGTGATAGGGGTAGTGATAGGGGTAGTGATAGTGATAGGGGGTAGTAATAGTGGGTAGTGATAGTGATAGGGGGTAGTGATAGGGGTAGTGATAGTGATAGGGGGTAGTGATAGTGGGTAGTGATAGTGATAGGGGGTAGTGATAGGGGTAGTGATAGTGATAGGGGGTAGTGATAGTGATAGGGGTAGTGGTAGTGATAGGGGTAGTGATAGGGGTAGTGATAGGGGTAGTGATAGTGATAGGGGGTAGTGATAGTGATAGGGGGTAGTGATAGTGATAGGGGGTAGTGATAGTGATAGGGGGTAGTGATAGGGGTAGTGATAGTGATAGGGGGTAGTGATAGGGGTAGTGATAGTGATAGGGGTAGTGATAGGGGTAGTGATAGGGGTAGTGATAGGGGTAGTGATAGGGGTAGTGATAGTGATAGGGGTAGTGATAGTGATAGGGGGTAGTGATACTGATAGGGGATAGTGATAGGGGTAGCGATGGGGCAATGTCCTCACCAGACCCCTCTGATCCCTGTGGGTCCCCTGGGGCCCCCTCCGTCGTCCCATCGAGTCCACGGACGAGCGGAGGAGGTGGAGGAGGTGGAGGCATCAGTTTGGAGTCGATGTCATCACCATCGGCATCGTAGTCATCGTCATCGTCGTCGTCTGGAACAAATCATCAGCAGCATCACCACGACCATCATCACCACTAACACCATCATCAGCACTAACACCATCATCATTACCATCACCACTACCATCATCATTACCATCATCACCATCATCACCACTAACATCATCATTACCATCACCACCACTACCATCATCACCATCATCACCACTAACACCATCATCACCATCACCACTAACATCATTATTACCATCACCACCACTACCATCATCACCACTAACACCATCATTACCACCACCACCACTACCATCATCACCACTAACATCATCATTACCACTACCATCACCACCACTACCATCATCACCACCACCACCATCATCACCATCATCACCACTAACATCATCATTACCATCACCACCACTACCATCATCACCATCATCACCACTAACATCATCATTACCACTACCATCACCACCACTACCATCATCACCATCATCAGCACTACCATCATCATCACCATCACCACCACTACCATCATCACCATCATCACCACTAACATCATCATTACCATTACCATCACCACCACTACCATCATCATTACCATCATCACCACTACCATCATCACCATCATCACCACTAACATCATCATTACCACTACCATCACCACCACTACCATCATCACCATCATCACCACTACCATCATCACCATCACCACCACTACCATCATCACCATCATCACCACTACCATCATCATTACCATCATCACCATCATCACCACCACTACCATCATCACCATCACCACCACTACCATCATCACCATCATCACCACTAACATCATCATTACCATCACCACCACTACCATCATCACCATCATCACCACTACCATCATCATTACCATCATCACCACTAACACCATCATTACCATCACCACCACTACCATCATCACCATCATCACCACTACCATCATCATTACCATCACCACCACTACCATCATCACCACTACCATCATCATTACCATCACCACCACTACCATCATCACCACTACCATCATCTACACTAACATCATTACCATCACCACCACTACCATCATCAACACTAACATAATCACCATCATCAAAACTCACATCATCACCATCACCACGACCATCATCACCATCACCACTACCATCATCACCACTACCATCACCACCACTACCATCATCAACACTAACATCATCAGCATCACCACTACCATCATCACCATCACCACCACTACCATCATCACCAGCATCAAAACTAACATCATCACCAACACCACTACCATCATCACCACTACCATCATCACCAGCATCAAAACTAACATCATCACCATCATCACCACTAACATCATCATTACCATCACCACCACTAACATCATTACCATCATAATCAACACTAATATAATCAGCATCACCACTACCATCATCACCATCATCAACACTAACATCACCACCATCATCACCACTACCATCATCACCATCATCACCACTACCATCATCACCATCACCACCACTACCATCATCACTATCATCAAAACTAACATCATCACCATCACCACTACCATCATCACCACTACCATCATCACCAGCATCCAAACTAACATCATCACCATCATCACCACTAACATCATCATTACCACTACCATCACCACCACTACCATCATCACCATCATCACCACTACCATCATCACCATCACCACCACTACCATCATCACCATCATCACCACTACCATCATCATTACCATCATCACCATCATCACCACCACTACCATCATCACCATCACCACCACTACCATCATCACCATCATCACCACTAACATCATCATTACCATCACCACCACTACCATCATCACCATCATCACCACTACCATCATCATTACCATCATCACCACTAACACCATCATTACCATCACCACCACTACCATCATCACCATCATCACCACTACCATCATCATTACCATCACCACCACTACCATCATCACCACTACCATCATCATTACCATCACCACCACTACCATCATCACCACTACCATCATCTACACTAACATCATTACCATCACCACCACTACCATCATCAACACTAACATAATCACCATCATCAAAACTCACATCATCACCATCACCACGACCATCATCACCATCACCACTACCATCATCACCACTACCATCACCACCACTACCATCATCAACACTAACATCATCAGCATCACCACTACCATCATCACCATCACCACCACTACCATCATCACCAGCATCAAAACTAACATCATCACCAACACCACTACCATCATCACCACTACCATCATCACCAGCATCCAAACTAACATCATCACCATCATCACCACTAACATTATCATTACCATCACCACTACCATCATCACCATCACCACCACTACCATCATCACTATCATCAAAACTAACATCATCACCATCACCACTACCATCATCACCACTACCATCATCACCAGCATCCAAACTAACATCATCACCATCATCACCACTAACATTATCATTACCATCACCACAATTACCATCATCACCATCATCATCAACACTAACATAATCAGCATCACCACTACCATCATCACCATCAACACTAACATCACCACCATCATCACCACTACCATCATCACCATCATCACCACTACCATCATCACCATCACCACCACTACCATCATCACTATCATCAAAACTAACATCATCACCATCACCACTACCATCATCACCAGCATCCAAACTAACATCATCACCATCATCACCACTAACATTATCATTACCATCACCACAACTACCATCATCACCATCATCATCATCAACACTAACATAATCAGCATCACCACTACCATCATCACCATCATCAACACTAACATCACCACCATCATCACCACTACCATCATCACCATCATCACCACTACCATCACCACCATCATCATCATCGTCATCACCATCGTCACCATCACTACTGACATCAACATCACCACCATTAACATCACCACCGTGTTGAGGCGGCAAGTGGGTGATCAGTGGGCGATGAGTGGGCGGCGAGTGAGCGTGGTGAGCGGAGTGGTATGGCCGTGGCGAGTGTGGTGAGCGAGCGTGGTGAGCAAGCGTGGTGAGCGTGGTGAGCGAGCGTGAGTGGTGAGCGAGCGTGGTGAGCGAGCGTGGTGAGCGAGCGTGGTATGGCCGTGGTGAGCGAGCGTGGTGAGCGTGGTGAGAGTGATGAGCGAGCGTGGTGAGCGTGGTGAGTGTGGTGAGTGAGCGTGGCGAGCGTGGTGAGCGTGGCGAGCGTGGTGAGTGAGCGTGGTGAGCGAGCGTGGTGAGCGTGGTGAGCGAGTGAGTGTGGCGGTACCGCGAGGCTCCGGTCTCAGCGTGGCCATGCCGCTCCGGGACCGAGCCGCCTCCTCGTCGCCATCGTCGCCGTCACCATCACCGTCGTCGTCCGCGACCTCGGTGATGTCGGCGTAGTCCACCGCGTCCGGGCCGCTCGCCACCCAGCCTGCTCACGGCCACACAAAGCTCCCGGTGAGGACCCGACAGGCCGCCGGCAGGCGCTGTGACACAGGGGGTGGCCGGCCGGCAGCACTGCGCCCGGCCGCCTTTGTCTCTCCCCCGGTGCCGATGTTCACGGCACACCGCACCGGGTACTCGTTTGAGGCCGAGTCGACCTGGGGGAGGCCCAGGGACCGGTTCGGATAATCACGATCGCCGGTGTTGGCCGTGGGCGGGAATCGAACCCGGGCGGCCAGGTTCATAGCGCAGCGTAGCGCTAACCACTACACTACCGCTCCCCACATTGACACACACACACACATGCGGCGCGTGTGTGTGTGTGTCTGCGTCTCTCCCCCCGCGTCTCCCTCCCCCCGTCTCTCCCCCCGCGTCTCCCTCCCAGCGTCTCTCTCCCCGTGTCTCTCTCCCCGTGTCTCTCCCCGTGTCTCTCTCTCCCCGCGTCTCCCTCCCCGTGTCTCTCTCCCCATGTCTCTCTCCGTGTCTCTCTCCCCGTGTCTCTCTCCCCGTGTCTCTCTCTCCCCGTGTCTCCCTCCCAGCGTCTCTCTCCCCGTGTCTCTCTCCCCGTGTCTCTCTCCCCGTGTCTCTCCCCGTGTCTCTCTCTCCCCGCGTCTCCCTCCCCGTGTCTCTCTCCCCATGTCTCTCTCCGTGTCTCTCTCCCCGTGTCTCTCTCTCCCCGTGTCTCCCTCCCTGCGTCTCTCTCCCCGTGTCTCTCTCCCCGTGTCTCTCTCCCCGTGTCTCTCTCCCCGCGTCTCTCTCCCTCCTCGTCTCCCCGTGTCTCTCTCCCCGTGTCTCTCTCCCCTTGTCTCTTCCCCCGTGTCTCTCTCTCCCCGTGTCTCTCTCCCCGTGTCTCTCTCCCCGTGTCTCTCTCCCCCCGTGTCTCTCTCTCCCCATGTCTCTCTCCCCATGTCTCTCTCTCCCCGCGTCTCTCTCCCCGCGTCTCTCTCCCCGCGTCTCTCTCTCCCCGCGTCTCTCTCCCCGCGTCTCTCTCCCCGCGTCTCTCTCCCCGTGTCTCTCTCCCCGTGTCTCTCTCCCCGTGTCTCTCTCCCCGTGTCTCTCTCCCCGCGTCTCCCCGCGTCTCTCTCCCCCCGTCTCTCTCCCTGTGTCTCTCTCCCCGCGTCTCTCTCCCCGCGTCTCTCTCCCCGTGTCTCTCTCTCCCCGTCTCTCTCCCCGCGTCTCTCTCCCCGTGTCTCTCTCCCCGACTCTCTTCCCGTGTCTCTCCCCCCGTGTCTCCCCGCGTCTCTCTCCCCGTGTCTCTCTCTCCCCGTCTCTCTCCCCGCGTCTCTCTCCCCGTGTCTCTCTCCCCGACTCTCTTCCCGTGTCTCTCCCCCCGTGTCTCCCCACGTCTCTCTCCCCGTGTCTCTCTCCCCGTGTCTCTCTCCCCGTGTCTCTCTCCCCGTGTCTCTCTCCTCGTGTCTCTCTCCCCGTGTCTCTCTCCCCGCGTCTCTCTCTCCCCGTGTCTCTCTCCCCTCGTCTCTCTCCCCGCGTCTCCCCGCGTCTCTCTCCCCCCGTCTCTCTCCCCGTGTCTCTCTCTCCCCGTCTCTCTCCCCGCGTCTCTCTCTCCCCGCGTCTCTCTCCCCGCGTCTCTCTCCCCGCGTCTCTCTCCCCGTGTCTCTCTCCCCGCGTCTCTCTCCCCGTGTCTCTCTCTCCCCGTCTCTCTCCCTGTGTCTCTCTCCACGTGTCTCTCCCTCCGTGTCTCTCTCCCCGCCTCTCTCCCCGTGTCTCTCTCCCCCCGTGTCTCCCCGCGTCTCTCTCCCCGTGTCTCTCTCCCCGTGTCTCTCTCCCCGTGTCTCTCTCCCTGTGTCTCTTTCCCCGTGTCTCTCTCCCCGTGTCTCTCTCCCCGTGTCTCTCTCCTCGTGTCTCTCTCCCCGTGTCTCTCTCCCCGCGTCTCTCTCTCCCCGTGTCTCTCTCCCCTCGTCTCTCTCCCCGCGTCTCCCCGCGTCTCTCTCCCCCCGTCTCTCTCCCCGTGTCTCTGTCCCCGCGTCTCTCTCCCCGTGTCTCTCTCTCCCCGTCTCTCTCCCCGCGTCTCTCTCTCCCCGCGTCTCTCTCCCCGCGTCTCTCTCCCCGCGTCTCTCTCCCCGTGTCTCTCTCCCCGCGTCTCTCTCCCCGTGTCTCTCTCTCCCCGTCTCTCTCCCTGTGTCTCTCTCCACGTGTCTCTCCCTCCGTGTCTCTCTCCCCGCCTCTCTCCCCGTGTCTCTCTCCCCCCGTGTCTCCCCGCGTCTCTCTCCCCGTGTCTCTCTCCCCGTGTCTCTCTCCCCGCGTCTCTCTCCCCGTGTCTCTCTCCCCGCGTCTCTCTCCCCGTGTCTCTCTCTCCCCGTCTCTCTCCCCGCGTCTCTCTCCACGTCTCTCCCTCCGTGTCTCTCTCCCCGCCTCTGTCCCCGTGTCTCTCTCTCCCCGTCTCTCTCCCAGTGTCTCTCTCCCCGTCTCTCTCCCCGTGTCTCTCCCCCCGTGTCTCCCCGCGTCTCTCTCCCCGTGTCTCTCTCCCCGCGTCTCTCTCTCCCCGCGTCTCTCTCCCCGCGTCACCGTCCGTGGTGTCGCCGTTGCCATCCTCGTCCTCTCCGTCGTCCTCTCCATCGTCGTCCTCGTTGTGCCGCTCCTCCTCGTCCTCCTCGTCCTCCTCGTTGCTTTGCGTGATCTCCTGGATCAGGGAGCCCAGACCCAGCGCTCCCAGTCCAGCCAGGTGCTTCTTGCTCTCCTGCAGCCGTGAGGGGTAGAGCTGGTCACTCACCAACTCGCCCATCCACTCACTCACTCACTCACCTCGCCACTCACCTCGCCCAGCCACCCGCTCACTCACCCACTCACACACCCACTCACTCAGCCACTCACTCACTCACCCACTCACCCACTCACTCAACCACCCACTCACTCACCCACTCACACACTCACTCACCCACTCACTCAATTACACACTCACCCACTCACTCACCCACTCACTCACCCACTCACTCACTCACTCACCCACTCACTCACCCAATCACTCACCCACTCACTCACCCACTCACTCACTCACCCACCCACGCACCCACTCAACCATCCACTCACTCACTCACCTCGCCACTCACCTCGCCCAGCCACCCGCTCACTCACCCACTCACACACCCACTCACTCAGTCATCCACTCGCTCACCCAAAAAACGCACTTGCCTACCCACTCGCTCAGCCATCCACTCACTCACCCACACATCCATACACCCACTCACTCACCCACGCACCCACTCAACCATCCACTCACTCACACGCCCACACATCCATACACCCACTCACACACCCACTCACTCCCCCATCCACTCACTCACCTACCCACTAGCTCAACCATCCACTCACTCACACGCCCACACATCCATACACCAACTCACTCACCCACTCACACACACACACATCCACTCAACCATCCACTCACTCACTCACTCGCCCACCCACTCACTCGCCTATCCACTCACATACCCACTCACACACCCACTCATCCATAGACCCACCCACTCACTCACCCATCCACTCACTCACCTACCCACTAGTTCAACCATCCACTCACTCACACGCCCACTCATCCATACACCCACTCACTCACCCACTCACACACCCACTCACACACCCACTCACACACCCACTCACACACACACACACACACCCCCACCCACCCACCCACTCAACCATCCACTCACTCACTTGCCCACCCACTCACTCGCCTATCCACTCACACACCCACTCCCACACCCACTCATCCATAGACCCACTCACTCACTCACTAGCTCAACCATCCACTCACACGCCCACTCATCCATAGACCCACCCACTCACACACCCACTCACACACCCATTCATCCATAGACTCATCTATTCATGCTTCCACCCACTGACTCACTTCCACCCACTGACTCACCAACTCATCCACCCACACAACTCACTCACCCACCCAGCCACCCACCCAGCCACACGCCCACACATTCGCTCACCCATCCATTCACTCACTCGCACACACACCCACTCATCTATACATCGACTCACCCACCAACCACTCACTTACCCACCCACTCACCCACCATTCACTCATTCACACACTTACCTATTCACCCTTCCACCCACTCACAAATTCACTCACCCGCCCATCCAGCCAAACGCCCGCATGCTCAGCCTTCCACCCATCCACTAACTCACCCACACACTCACCCACCCACTAACTCACCTGCACACTCACACACCTACACACACAACTCACCCACCCACTAACTCACCCACCCACACAATTCAACCATCCCGCCCACCCAGCCAGCCACACGCTCCCTCAGTCTTCCACTCACTCACACACACACCCACCCACTAACTCACCTACCCACACTCAACTCACCCACCCACTAACTCACCTACACACACAACTCACCCACCCACTGACTCACCCACAGACTCAACTCACACACCCACTAACTCACCTGCCCACACAACTCACCCACCCACTAACTCACCTACCCACACAACTCACACACCCACTAACTCATCTACCCACACTCAACTCACCCACTAACTCACCTACCCACACAACTCACCCACCCACTAACTCACCTACCCACACAACTCACCCACCCACTAACTCACCTACCCACACAACTCACCCACCCACTAACTCACCTACCCACACAACTCACCTACCCACTAACTCACCTACCCACACAACTCACCCACCCACTAACTCACCCACTAACTCACCTACACACTCACACACCTACACACACAAGTCACCCACCCACTAACTCACCTACCCACACAACTCACCCACCCACTAACTCACCTACCCACACAACTCACCCACCCACTAACTCACCTACCCACACACAACTGACCCACCCACTAACTCACCTACACACACAACTCACCCACCCACTAACTCACCTACACACACAACTCACCCACCCACTAACTCACCTACCCACACAACTCACCCACCCACTAACTCACCTACCCACCCACTAACTCACCTACACACACAACTCACCCACCCACTAACTCACCTACACACATCTCACCCACCCACTAACTCACCTACACACATCTCACCCACCCACTAACTCACCTACCCACACACAACTCACCCACCCACTAACTCACCCACCCACACAACTCACCCACCCACTAACTCACCTACACACAACTCACCCACCCACTAACTCACCTACCCACACAACTCACCCACCCACTAACTCACCTACCCACCCACTAACTCACCTACCCACACAACTCACCCACCCACTAACTCACCTACCCACACACAACTCACCCACCCACTAACTCACCTACCCACACAACTCACCCACCCACTAACTCACCTACCCACACACAACTCACCCACCCACTAACTCACCTACACACAACTCACACACCTACTAACTCACCTACCCACCCACTAACTCACCTACCCACCCACTAACTCACCTACCCACACAACTCACCCACCCACTAACTCACCAACACACACACAACTCACCCACCCACTAACTCACCTACCCACACACAACTCACCCACCCACTAACTCACCTACTCACCCACTAACTCACCTACCCACACAACTCATCCACCAACTCACCTACCCACTAACTCACCCACCCACTAACTCACCTACCCACACACAACTCACCCACCCACTAACTCACCTACCCACCCACTAACTCACCTACCCACACAACTCACCCAACCCACTAACTCACCTACTCACCCACTAACTCACCTACCCACACAACTCACCCACCCACTAACTCACCCACCCACTAACTCACCTACCCACACAACTCACCCATCCACTAACTCACCTACCCACACAACTCACCCACCCACTAACTCATCTACACCCACACAACTCACCCACCCACTAACTCACCCACACACAACTCACCTACACACAACTCACCCACCCACTAACTCACCTACCCACACAACTCACCCACCCACTAACTCACCCACCCACTAACTCACCTACCCACACAACTCACCCATCCACTAACTCACCCACCCACACAACTCACCCACCCACTAACTCACCTACACCCACACAACTCACCCACCCACTAACTCACCCACACACAACTCACCTACACACAACTCACCCACCCACTAACTCACCTACCCACACAACTCACCTACCCACACAACTCACCCACCCACTAACTCACCTACCCACACACAACTCGCCCACCCACTAACTCACCTACCCACACAACTCACCTACCCACACAACTCACCCACCCACTAACTCACCTACTCACACACAACTCACCCACCCACTAACTCACCTACCCACACAACTCGCCCGCCCACTAACTCACCTACCCACCCACTAACTCACCTACTCACACAACTCACCCACCCACTAACTCACCTACCCACACACAACTCACCCACCCACTAACTCACCTACACACACAACTCACCCACCCACTAACTCACCTACCCACTAACTCACCCACCCACTAACTCACCTACACACAACTCACCTACCCACACACAACTCACCCACCCACTAACTCACCTACCCACACACAACTCACCCACCCACTAACTCACCTACCCACACAACTCACCCACCCACTAACTCACCTACCCACCCACTAACTCACCTACCCACACAACTCACCAACCCACTAACTCACCCACCCACTAACTCACCTACCCACACACAACTCACCCACCCACTAACTCACCTACCCACACAACTCACCCACCCACTAACTCACCTACCCACCCACTAACTCACCTACCCACACAACTCACCAACCCACTAACTCACCTACCCACACACAACTCACCCACCCACTAACTCACCCACCCACTAACTCACCCACACACTAACTCACCCACCCACACACAACTCACCCACCCACTAACTCACCTACCCACACACAACTCACCCACCCACTAACTCACCCACCCACTAACTCACCTACACACAACTCACCCACACACTAACTCACCCACCCACTAACTCACCTACCCACACGCAACTCACCCACCCACTAACTCACCTACCCACACACAACTCACCCACCCACTAACTCACCTACCCACACAACTCGCCCGCCCACCGAGCCACACGCCCGCACACTCGCTCCACACAGGGGCCCCTGGCGAGCGGTGGCCGTGCCGCAGCAGCGGATAGAACCTGGTGGTGGAGCGGGGGGGGCAGGGAGGGAGCAGCCCCCACCTTGTCGAGGATGGAGTCGTCCTCCAGCTCGCCATCCTCGCCGATGTTGCCGAAGAGGAAGCCAGCGAGGGAGAAGGAGCGGAGACCGTCACTGCCCCCGTCGTCGTCGCCGTCCGAGTCCGACATCGTCGTCCTGAGAGAGCGACCATCGTCGTCATCGTCGTCATCGTCATCATCGTCGTCATCGTCATCATCGTCGTCATCGTCGTCATCGTCGTCGTTGTCGTTAACATCGTCATCATCGTCGTCATCGTCGTCATCGTCGTCAACGTCGTCAACATTGTCGTCATCGTCGTCATCGTCGTCGTTGTCGTTAACATCGTCATCATCGTCGTCATCGTCGTCATCGTCGTCAACGTCGTCAACATTGTCGTCATCGTCGTCATCGTCGTCATCGTCGTCAACGTCGTCAACATTGTCGTCATCGTCGTCATCGTCGTCATCGTCGTCAACATTGTCATCATCGTCGTCATCGTCGTCATCATCGTCAACATTGTCATCATCGTCGTCATCGTCGTGAACATTGTCATCATGGTCATCATCGTGTTTATGATCGTCCGTCATCATCACCGCCGCCGTCATCATCACCATCATCTTCATCATCGCCACCGTCGTCATCATCGTTATCATCATCGTGACCATCGTTAACATCGTCGTCGTCATTGTTAACATCATCGTTAACATCCTCATCATCGTGACCATCATCGTCGTCATCATCGTGATCATCATCGTCGTCATCATCATGATCATCGTGATTATAATCGCCACCGTCGTCATCGTCGTCATCAACGTGATCATGATCGTCGTCATCATCATCGTCAACGTCATCGTCAACGTCGTCATCGTCAACATCATCATCGTCAACATCATCATCGTCAACATCATCATCGTCATCATCATAGTCAACATCATCGTCATCATTGTCAACGTCATCATTGTCAACGTCATCATTGTCAACATCATCGTCAACATCATCGTCATCATCGTCAACATCATCATCGTCGTCAACAAGATCACCCTCACCAACATCATCTTCACCATCAACATCGTCAACAAAATCGTCAACATCATGACCACCATCACAACCGCCATCATAGCCCTCAGAGCGTGACCATCATCAAAATCATCATCATCATCATCGTCGTCAACAACATCACCATGAACATCACCATCATCACAATAAAACCCTGTCTCTTGAATGTTTCACCTGGCCACGCAAATTAAACTTGGACTCACTCACCAACTCCCTCAACAACGAACTCCCTCACCAAATCGCATACTCACTCACACACTCACCCACTCAGCAATACTCACCCACTCACCAACTGACTCACCAATTGACTCACCGACCCACTCACTCACCCACTCATTCAACAACAACCGCCATTCGCCACTCAGTGGCGGTGACGTCACCACGACGCTTGTGCCAGGCCATGTGCACTTTGAGGCCACGTGAAGTGTCGAACGCCCGCTGGCAGGAGGTCACGGGGCAGACCCAGATGCCACGGGTCGACTGAGATGACTGGCTGATGCACCACCTGTGCCCCCTACTGTGCCAACCTGCTGAGCTTTAGCCACCCGGCGCTCCGCTCGGTGTTGTGAGCATCGCTTCTCCGCCCTCCGTTGTTGTTGGAGGGCGACTACCTCCAACTGACCAGTAGCGTCCTTCACGAGCCTCCTCCACAGAGGCCGATCTTGACACCGCTGGTACCAGTCATCGGCAAGTCCACTCAGCTCCACGTCCTCCTGTACCACATCACTCCATCTCTTCTCCAGCCCGTGCCGCGCCCGTTTAGCCCCCTCGATCCAGTCGAACAAAAGCTGTTTCGGCATGCGGTGGCTGGGCTTGCAGGCTACATGACCCAGCCAGATCTTTCAAGGATTTGTGAGCTCCTCACACAATCCAGCCCGGTTAAACTCAGGATGGATCGTAGGCAGGCTAGCCTAAATGTTTCTAACCGACGAAGATGTTCCATTAGGGGGGTCCACGTTTCACAAGCGTAGAGAAGGGAGGGAATGACCGTGGCCGAGAAGACCTGAAGCTTCGTGCGGAGCGACAGACCAGGTAACTTCCACACAGTGTTACGCAACCGATGAAAAGATATTGCCGCTCGACTGATTCGGAGTGAGACCTCTGCTGTTAAATTAGTGCCGGTCATAAGCACACTGCCCAGGTATGGGAAACTCTCCACTCTCTCCACAACTGCCCCATCACCGATTGGGAGTTGTGGGGGTGGAGTGTCCGATGGTACAAAATACCCAGGCAGGTGCTTAGTTTTGGTGGGGCTGATGGTAAGGCCCCATCTTTTAGTGGCACGCTCCAGTCTCAGCAGCAGCGTCTCCAACTCCTCCTCTGAATGAGCAGCTATTACCAAATCATCGGCATACATAACGTGGTTGAGCAATCGGGAGCCATCCCTTGACCGCACCCGGGCATCGATCAGCCTCCCATTATATCTGTACCATATGGAGATTCCCCCGGTACAGCTATTGAAGGCTTCACGAACTATGTCGTCAAAATAGATGTTCAATAATGTGGGAGCCAGAGGACATCCCTGTCGCACCCCAAGGTGTACAGGGAATGGCTCTGACTCCCGGCCACGTAGTTTTACCCGGGCCCGCTCACCATCATGAAGGTCCTTAATGATCGTGAGCAGAGGGTCAGGGACTCCAAAAGCACGAAGAACAACCCAGAGCCCAGGCCTATTGATGGCATCATAGGCCTTGACCAGGTCAATAAAGCAGAGATGTAGGTCTTGCTGGAACCCACTCATTCACCCACTCACTCACCCACTCACTCACCAACTGACTCACCAATTGACTCACAAACTGACTCACAAACTGACTCACCCACCCACTCACTCACCCACTCAGCAACTTACCCACTCACTCACCAACTGACTCACCAATTGACTCACAAACCGACTCACAAACTGACTCACCCACCTACTCACTCACTCATTCACCCACTCACCACTCACACAATGAATCACCCACTCACACACTCACATATTCACTCACTCAAACACTGACTCACCCACTTACTCACCCACTCACAAACTGACTCACACACCGACCCACCGACTCACCCACTCACACACCGACTCACCCACTCACACACTCACTCACGCATTCACACACTGATTCACCCACTCACCACTCACACAATGATTCACCCACTCACCACTCACTCAAACACTGACTCACCCACTTACCCACTCACACACCGACTCACCTACTCACACACTGACTCATGAAAAATTCGTTCATGAGGCTATCCACATATATAAACACAGAGACAATTTCAACCGAGAAGATGGATTCTGGCTTAGCAATCATTGTAAGGATTTGATAAACCATTTCGGGTCTTAATTGATTGTTCACGTTTACGGTGGCTTTCAGACCGCATCCATTATTTTCGTTTCCCCCCTCCCTCCTCTTTTCCGAAAATAAATGGACTCGTCCATCTGAACAAATTGTCAAATCGCTCTCCGTGCTGCTAACGTTAAAAAACCGCCACTTTTTTCAAATTGTAGTGCTGTGGTTTTCACACCTGATGCGGTCGAAACGTCGTGAGAATTGTATTGTTTTGTATTTTTATTATTTTATTGTTTCCCTTCTACGTGACTTTACCGAAAGAACCAAGAATATAACTAGCACGTCAACAACTACTACAACTACCACAACTAATACAACTACCACAACGTCAACAACAACGTCAACAACTACTACAATACAACTACCACAACTAATACAACTACCACAACGTCAACAACGTCAACAACTACTACAACTAATACAACTACCACAACTAATACAACTAACACAACTACCACGTCAACAACTACCACAATTAATACAACTACCACAACAACTACCACAACGTCAACAACTACCGCAACTAATACAACTACCACGTCAACAACGTCAACAACTACAACTACCACAACTAATACAACTACCACAACGTCAACAACTACCACAACTAATACAACTACCACAACTAATACAACTACCACAACTAATACAACTACCACAACTACCACAACGTCAACAACTACCACAACTAATACAACTACCACAACTAATACAACTACCACAACAACTACCACGTCAACAACTACCACAACTAATACAACTACCACAACTAATACAACTACCACAACGTCAACAACTACCACAACTAATACAACTACCACAACTAATACAACTACCACAACAACAACTACCTCAGCAACAACTACCACAACTACCACGTCAACAACAGGCGCCCGCTAGACCACACCGACGCTTCAGCCACAGCCACAAGGCCTCTGGAGAAGCCAAGTTCGCTGCGCGCCTTCTCACTCACGGCCTTGCTGACGCCGCCGCCGCGGGATTTACGTGCTGCCCGCAAGTCTCGCGAACATTCTGCTGCTGCTGTTGTTGTTGTTTTAAAACGCGAAGGGCGTCCTAGAATATTGTGTTAGTCGCCCTCACGCAAACGATCAAATCAATGGAGTTGAGGGGCAGCAATGGCCGCCACCACTATGGGGGGGGGGGGGTAACAACTTCCGGGTCACGGTGGGGGTGTGGGGTCACGACTTCCGGGTAACGAGGGGGTTACGACTTCCGGGTTACGGGGGAAAAGGCGGGGGGGTGATGAATTTCGGGTCACGGGGGGGCGGGGAGTCACAACTTCCGGGTCACGGGGGGGAGGCGAGGGTCACGACTTCCGGGTGACGGGGGGAGGCGAGGGTCACGACTTCCGGGTCACGGGGGGGGAGGCGAGGGTCACGACTTCTGGGTGACGACTTCTGGTTACGGGGGGGCGTAACGACTTCCGGGTCACGAGGGGGGCGGGGTCACGGCTTCCGGTAGCGTTAGGCGGCCATCTTGGTAAGGGGGGGGGAGAGAGAGTTGAGTTCACATAGTCGATAGCAGGTGACACAAATTGTTGTCTCAGTGTACAAAGTGTTCTTTGTAAATTGCTTACGCCTCAAAAGTTTGGTGAATGGCTTGTTGTTATTCCCCACAAACTTTGCTCTTGTGTCCAGGACTTTTGCGTGAAGGAATGACACGCAAATGCACACCCCGTGTTTTTCCCATTGAAAATATGTACATTTCAAAATATCGGTGTGTGAGTGCGTGAGTCACAAAAAACAAAGTTCGTGGGGAATAATAACCATATGCTATGGTTCTTTCGGTAAAGTCACGTAGATAGATAGAAGAAAAAACACCAATTAAATAATAAAAATACAAAATAGTGATGAATAAAAAATCAATCGATATTTTGAAGTTTTCCTGACTGCAGGGATCCATAATGTTTGGTTCTTTCGGTAAAGTCACACTGGGTAAATAAAATAAATCGGGTGACGTTTCGGGCGCAACACGAGCAATCGTCATCAGGTGGTAAGACAACCACAGCAGGAAACAGCTTGCTCAAGTGGGCAAAAGGGACTGCTGTAACAAGCGGCTGTATAGGTTGGAGAGAGGGGGGGGGTAGGAGCCAGGAAGCACAGATAGAGAGAGGGGGGGTAGGAAGAGAAATATCAACGACGTTTCGATCGCAACACGAGCAATCGTCATCAGGTGTGAAAACCACAGCAAGAAAATTTGAAGAAAAAGTGGCGTTTTTTTAACGTTAGCACCACGGAGAGCGATTTGACAATTTGTTCAGATGGACCAGTCCATCTATGTTCGGAAAATAGGAGGGGGGAGACGAAAATAATGGATGCGGTCTGAAAGCCACCGTAAGCGTGAACAATCAAGACCCGAAATGGTTTATCAAATCCTTCCAATGATTGCTAAGCCAGAATCCATCTTCTCGGTTGAAATTGTCTCTGTGTTTGTATATGTGGATAGCCTCATGAACGAATTTCGCATGAGTCAGTGTGTGAGTAGGTGAGTCGGTGTGTGAGTGGGTGAGTCAGTGTGTGAGTGGGTGAGTAAGTGGGTGAGTCAGTGTTTGAGTGAGTGGGTGAATCACTGTGTGAGTGGGTGAATCAGTGTGTGAATGGGTGAGTCAGTGTGTGAGTGGGTGAGTCGGTGTGTGAGTGGGTGAGTAAGTGGGTCGGTGTGTGAGTCAGTGTGTGAGTGGGTGAGTAAGTGGGTGAGTCAGTGTTTGAGTGAGTGGGTGAATCATTGTGTGAGTGGTGAGTGGGTGAATCAGTGTGTGAATGGGTGAGTCAGTGTGTGAGTGGGTGAGTCGGTGTGTGAGTGGGTGAGTAAGTGGGTCGGTGTGTGAGTCAGTGTGTGAGTGGGTAAGTGGGTGAGTCAGTGTTTGAGTGAGTGAGTGGGTGAATCATTGTGTGAGTGGGTGAATGAGTGGGTGAATGAGTGGGTGGGTGAGTCAGTTTGTGAGTCAACTGGTGAGTCAGTTGGTGAGTGAGTGGGTGAGTCAGTGTTTGAGTGAGTATGTAAGTGTGTGAGTGGGTGAATCATGTTAATGTAGGAGAGGGCACCGGCAGTAGGTCTACACCAATCAGAGAGCTGTTTATAAAGGTTTAGAGATGGGCGGGGCAGCTCATGTTAATGTAAGAGAGGTCTCCGACATGGGCAGTAGGTCTACACCAATCAGAGAGCTGTTTATAAAGGTTTAGAGATGGGCGGGGCAGTAGGTCTACACCAATCAGAGAGCTGTTTATAAAGGTTTAGAGATGGGCGGGGCAGTAGGTCTACACCAATCAGAGAGCTGTTTATAAATTCTAGATTTGAAGCTTTCTTGACCGCAAGGATCCATATGTGATACTCCAATCAAAACCATCACACTACCATATATAGCAGGCGTTACTAAAAAGATCTCCAAAATTCTAAATAAACACAAGATCCTGGTCCGGTTCAACACAGTACACAAAATCCGTGACCTGAGCCCATCCGTAAAGGATGTTGTTCCTGACTTACAGTACCCCAGGGTTTACAAATTGAGCTGCACCTGTGGTGACTGCTATATCGGGGAGACGAAGCGACATGTCTCTGACCTAATTCGCGAGCACAAATCAGATTTGAAACACGGCGGAACGAATTATTCTGCCGTAGCTGACCACTGTTACAACGCTGTGGGTGATCACGATACAATTTTCTCCGATACCAAGGTACTCTCCAAACCCACGGGTTTTTATCAGAGATTTGTCCACGAGGCAATTCAGATTTACAAGCACAGACACAATTTCAACCGAGAGGATGGTTTCAAATTAAGCAATCACTGGAAAGATGTTCTAAATCAAACCAAACATTAAGCTAATTTTCAATGGTACATTATATTTTTTCAAGTAGTGGTATCCCAAACTTTCGCAGCTGCTTATTTTTCCCTTCACACCACCATCATGTAAACTCCCCCTCCTCCCCTCGCCAGTCTGAACATGTTCCCTCTACGTCGTCGTTCATCATGCTGAATCCCGCAATTAAATGCAAATTGTTATGCTAACTCCTTTGTCAAGGCGCTCTGTTTCCTCCCACACAGCTTAAAGGACGCGGTCTGGGCTTGTCTGTATTCACTCCAGCGCTGTCCTCTGGACAGTCTGGTCCCTTCACCTAATGAAGGCCACTTGTGTTGTGGCCAAAACGTCGTGATTTTTTGTTATTTTATTTTTTACCTACGTGACTTTAGCTCTTTATAAAGGTTTAGAGATGGGGGCGCGGCAGCTAATGTTAATGTGGGAAAGATCTTCGACAAGGCCAGTAGGTCTACACCAATCAGAGAGCTGTTTATGAAGGATTAGAGATGGGCGGGGCAGCTCATGTTAATGTGGGAGAGGGCTCTGACACGGCAGTAGGTCTACACCAATCAGAGAGCTGCTCTTTGGTTTTATTCGGTAAAGTCACGTAGATAAAATAAAACAATTAAAATCACGACGTTTCGGAGGCAACACAAGCTTCCGTCTTCAGGTGGAACAGTCACAGCAAAAGATCTGTGTAGAGTACACAGCTCTGAGATGATCGCGTTTATATGTAGGTTAAGGGAGGGGGGAGGAGTCAGAAAGGGGGTGGGTGGGTGGGTGGGAGGGCTGAGTCAAGTCGCCTTATTGTTAAGCAGCCGGGGGTTCGAGTGGAAGGCTGTGGTGGACTGCCACCACATGCGGAGGAAACATCTAAAGTTTGGTATACCACCACTGAGAATTGCTGTACAATTAAAAGGCAGTTAACGTTTGACTTGATTTAAAACATCTTTCCAATGGTTGCTCAATTTGAAACCATCCTCTAGGTTGAAGTTGTGTCTGTGTTTGTATATCTGGATGGCCTCGTGGACAAATCTCTGATAATAACCGGTAGGTATTGGAGAGTACCTTGGTATTGGAGAAAACAATATCATGATCACCCACAGCGTTGTAACAGTGATCAGCCACGGCAGAAGAATTCGTTCTGCCGTGTTTCAAATCTGATTTGTGCTCGCGAATTCGGTCAGAGATATGTCGCTTCGTCTCCCCGATATAGCAGTCACCGCAGGTACAACTCAATTTGTAAAAACTGGGGTACTGTAAGTCAGGAACAACATCCTTTACAGATGGGATCAGATCACGGATTTTGTGTACTGTGTTGAACCGGACCTGGATCTTGTGTTTGTTTAGGATTTTGGAAATCTTATTAGTAACGCCTGCTATGTATGGTAACGTGATGATTTTGATCGGAGTGTCAAGTAGTTGTTTCTGTATGGAGGGAGAAACAGCTTGGCGGAATGTACGGTCAGAGTAACCGTTTCTCTTGAGGGCCAGGTGTACATGTTTTAATTCACTGGCCAGGTGGTGTTTGTCAGAAATGCAATGAGCCCTATGGTATAACGTTTTGATGAGATAATTCTTCTGAGTCGGGTGGTGGTCGGAATCAGGCTTCAAGTCGGAGTCTGTGTGGGTGGGTTTCCTGTAAACAGAATGTCCTAAAGAGCCATCAGGCCTTCTCTTAAACAGGACATCCAAGAATGGTAGCTTGCCATCTTTCTCCACTTCCATGGTGAATTTGATGGGTGTCTGGAATTGATGTGGTCTAGGAAAAGGTTCAAAGCTGGGAGGCCATGTGGCCAAATGAGGAACGTATCATCCACATATCTCTTCCACAGGGAAGGGCTGAGGGTGGATGTTTGGATGGCGTCTGATTCAAATGTCTCCATGAAAACAATGGCTATCACTGGTGATAAGGGGGAACCCATGGGGGTACCCTCATTTTGTTTGTAGAAGTCATTCCAAGTAAAGTAGGTGTTGGTGAGGCAGTGCTTAACCAACGCCGGTACATCGGGGTCAAGTCCATGTTGGACCAACTCTTCGATTATTGTGATGGTATCAGGTACTGGGACCTGGTGAACAGAGAGACCACATCAAAGCTGACGAGGATATCATCAGGAGACAGTACAATGTCATTAACCATAGAAACCAATTGGTTTGAGTTAAGTACTGCTGAGCTGGTCTTGCCAGTGAAGGGAAGCAGAGTATCTGACAGAAAACGAGCCAACTTGTATGTAGGTGAGTTGATAGTGGACACGATGGGTCGTAGTGGGGGGGTACCTTCTTTATGGATCTTGGGAAGACCATAGAATCTGGGAGGTCTTGAAGCGGAGGATTTTAGGG